TGAGGATCATGCTGTGTTGGCGAAATTGGGCTCATATTAACGTATTCTTCAGGGACTTTGTGTGTTTGTGTTTGTCAATTATATTTTTAGGTATTTTGTGCTTATTTTAAAAAAACTGGTTTGCATTAAATACATTATTTTCACAATTTGTGAGCCTGAATGTCAAATATTAAGTTAATACTTGATGATGATGTTGGTTTGATCGTTTAAAGAGCTCTCCTTTAACAGTTTGCGTTTGAATAACAAAGATTTTTGTGCAGAGGTTATAAGAATGATTTATTTATGCTTTTCACTAGACATTGTTGTATATTCATGGTTTAAGATCTATAATAAATCTCTTTAGATGTACAGGTCATCTTTATTAGTGTCATTCAACAGTAATTCTGCAATGTTGTTGTTTTACAGGTGCAGTTAACCAAAAGGGCCGACCCTAATGATCTGAAGGTCATCTTTCAAAAGGTAAGCTCAAACAGTGGAAATCCTTAATTCAAAGCTTAATTTTATGCATTATCTGGTAGTTATCATGTATTTTTCCTTCTTTTGAGTTGTCGATTGTGGATCATTAGTTTCGAACAGACTCTGCAACCTTAGATGCAAAGTAGATAACCGCTTTGGTCTGTCATTAAATCTTGATTTCCTTAGTCACGCTGCATTTTTAATTGTCACACTGTAAGATTAGGACATGTAAGACTTTCAAGTTTACATTAGCTTGCTTTTTTTGCACAGAAAGCGACATAAATAAGTACTTGAATACATTGGAAAGTCTATGACATGCAGTATGAAAGTCTAGACTCTTGTATGTGTTTGTGGGTAAACTGTTATGTGCTTCATATTTCCAGCATAAACAGAGAAGTGCTAATCTATGGGCTTCACGTTTGTCTAGTTATTTGTGATGACTTCCGCCGTCTAGATCTTGTGCGTCTGTCAGCTGAGAGTAGTTGTTTTCTTGAGTGGCGTTGGGCTGCTTGGGTGTCTGGTAACACAGTGACTTCTATGCGATGTGGCTCTATTAATAGGACTCCAGCGCGGATGTTTGGAGGAAGACATGAATGTCAGGGCAATAGATGGATGAGTGAAAAATGTCTCGATAAGGTCAGAGGGCTTCAGCTTTTTGTGTCCTGTTTAACTGCTGCTACATTATAAAATCTCCATTATGCATTCAATCCTCTAACAAATGCGTAGACTTTAGGGGAAATGTTTGCTTTGTATTTTGGGGATCTCAAAGCAAAATTTTGCAATTATTGTAATGGTCTTGGATGTAGTTTTGTGTCTGAATTTGTATTAATACTCTGTGTGATGTTTCAATGCTTATAGTAATAAAAAAAAAGTTCAAATGGTCAAAACTTTTGTGAAATGTTTGGTGTAAATGTACAAATAAAAGCATTTTAATTAAACCCACAGCTAATATACAGAGAAATTTATAATTTTCAAGTGATTTCTTAATATTTCCCCCATATATGTATTTACACACTCCCTTTGTAGCGACATTCATTCTGATTTCTTTCAGGTTTAACTTGTGAATTGATTTATTAAGTACACAGTAGAAGCTACATGATTATAAATGTATTACAAATAAATTTTGAAATGCGTAGATTTTAGGGGAAATAATTGCTTTGTATTTTAAGGATCTCTAAATCTAAAAATCTTTTTTTTTTCTTCAATATTGGACACATTTTATATAATAAATAGGCATGGCAAGGCAAACTTTATTTATAGAGCACAATTTACACAACCATAGTTGATCCAAAGTGCTTTACAATAAAATAATACAAAAAATAAAAACTGGAATTAAAAATATAAGGGAGTGTACATGTATAAAAGTAATACTAAAATACATATAAGAAATAACATGCATGCGTCACTTAAAGACAAGAGAGTAAGAATAAGTCTTTAAATTAGATTTAAAAGCATCCAATGAAGGATAAATCCTGATGTTGCCTTGTGGCCGCAACACAGAAAGCTCGATCACCTTTTGATTTGCAGCGAGACCGAGGGACAGACCAAAGAAACTGGTCATGGGATCTTAACAGTCTACAAGCCGTAAAAGGCCTAATAAGCTCACTGACATAGGCCGGGGCAGAATTGTGCAGTGCTTTATAAGTGAAAAGAAGTATTTTAAAATCAAGTCTGAATTTTATAGGATAGCCTAAATAGCCTTTATTATGTGTAAGCCTCATACTGTACATGTCTCTGAGACTGAATTTTGCTGGTAGATTTATGCTGTATGCATGTATGCCTCACAAGCCAATGTGTCATGAAAAACAGCACTTTTTCACCTGAAATAAAAAATTTTGCAAGAAAAATATTATGTTTTTTTTTTTATATAATATTTCCTAAATTTGGAGTTTATTAACTAAATTGTGTTGACTTTATTCCATTTTAGGCGTGGGCCGGTATAATATTCTGACAGTATGATAATCTTGAATAAAAATATCAGTTTCACGATATCACGGTAATGTGATACTGCTCTTAAAAAAAGTTATTTAAAAATGTCTAGGTACAAAACAAAAACTTTTTTCCACTTTGAACACAATTTATTTTTATTTTAAGAAACATTTATAATATTTTGGAACAGTAAACGTTTCAGGCTGAACAATTCAAATCAATCATTGATTTTTGCTGTCTTTATTTATTTAAATCAGCATCTTAGGATATTTTTTCTGCTGGAGATGCTGTTGTCCTAAAAGACAAATGTAAAAAAAAAAAATTATATAATAAATTAATAAATAAATAATTGTTTTAATTAATAAAAAAATTGTACACTTACCTTATAAACGGTATAGCGGAAAATTTTGGCGGTTTTAAAAGCTTGAATTTTCCATATCGTGGTATACCTTGAAAACGATTATCTTTCCATGCCTATTCCATTAAAGTTATTAGTTGTTAATTCTCAAATTAATGTTGATATTATTTTAATATTCAAATTAAATTTCTCATCCATATTGAAATAAAAAGATTATACTAATAAAAGAGTGGCAAATGCAATAAATTAAAATCATAACATTAAAATCTTTTTTCATATTCTGTAATTAATTTTCAGATACAGTGCAGTTTTTGTTTTTTTTAAATGGGAAAAAAAACTTCTTTGGGCTAAATGGATACACATTGTGGTAAAAAATAGTATAATAAAAATAGTATTGAAACACCATAAAATAGTGTTAAAAAGCTATTAATGCAATTTATAGTTGATCAAAATTGAAAAATACTCGCGGTTAATGAATATTAATTGTCATCTTTCCCCAGTTGTCCCAGTATGCAAATGCTGGTGCTTGATAAATGAGGTAGATTGAAGCTTGCTTGTTGCCAACAGTCATTAATAATGGAACATGTGGTATTTTACATATTTATTTACATTTTATTTATTTAAAATATATAATGGTCACTGAGTCCCTTTTTCACAGATTTTTTTTTGTATAAAGAAATTATGCGGGATTGATTACAGATGCTCGTGTTGTGTTTGTCCCCTCAGTATGCCAGTGTGGTGGATAAGGATGGAGAGCGGTACATGACACCCATTGACTTCGTGCAGAGGTATTTGGGCCTCCACACGCAGCTCCACTTCAACCCTAAAACTGTGCATCTGCTTGCCGGAGTGGCTGACACCACAAAAGATGGGTGAGACATCTCCTATCTCCCATCTGTTTTCTAGTTGTGTTTTTTTCTGGACTGAACCCTGAACCTTTAGCTCAGTTTATATGTTAAAGTTCATTCATTTCAAAAAGATTTTGCATAACTTTTTTTGTATAATAATTATAAGACGTACATTACATATTTACTCCAGTACATTTTGTTAACTAGAACTTGTCACAGCATTTATATTCTGCTTCTCTCTGATAATTCGAAGTGCTTATTTCATCCTCATTTTGGATGAAATTGTCTGCTTAATAAATATATGTAAAGTTGGCTTCTACAAGATTTTAGCATTTATTTGTTTAAAAATCTATTACTAATATCTATCTATCTATCTATCTATCTATCTATCTATCTATCTATCTATCTATCTATCTATCTATCTATCTATCTATCTATCTATCTATCTATCTGTCTATCTGTCTGTCTGTCTGTCTGTCTAACTACCTACCTATCTATAATTTGCATCAGATATAAATATTCACCTAATAAATATAAATATTTTCTCATGTATATAAATATATTTATGAGATATATGAGATATTATATATATTAGGAATACTCCGATCACAATATTTGTAGCCGATATCGAGTAACAATTCCTTGTCATGGTGATCAGCTGATACAGAGTACCGATTCTGACGCTTTATAATACTTAAGTGGAGATTTCTCCTTACCTAGGAGAATAAATCAAGGATGCTGCATATAAACCCTTAAACACGTCTCTTATAACTATTTAGGTATGAACATTTCAAAAAAATCGGTAAGAAAAATGATTAACAATGCAATTTGGAAACAACATATCTCAATAAAGAAAAAGTTTGGAGCTCAAATTTGACCTATAAGAAGTTATAGTGCAAACCTATGAATACATTACTTTTTTGCTAAAAGAAAATAGGTCTATAAACTACTGTTTTATTGCAATAAGTAAATAATAATAAGTTATATTATTAAATATTCATCCTAAAAAAAATAAATAAATAAATAAAAAAAAAAAAAAAAAAAATATATATATATATATATATATATATATATATATGTGTATATATATATATATATATATATATATATATATATATATATATATATATATATATATATATATATATATTGTGATCGGTTAATGAGATCGGCCAGATCCGCGAGTACCGATCGAGTCATAAAATGTGATTATCAGCCGATGCCGATTAATCAGAGCATCCCTAATATATATATATATATATATATATATATATATATATATATATATATATATTAGAAAATATTTTTATTTGTGAAGTGAATTCTTACATAAAATTTGTATTAGATATAAAATATACACAGTACACACACACATTTCAAGTGAATATTTATTTTTATAAAAATACAAATGCATGCAAATATGTGAGAATGTTTATTTATATTTAGATATAAAATATGTATACAATACATACATTTAGATATCTATGCAGATAACAGCTTTGTGAAGTCTTTATTATTATATATGTGTGCGCATTACATATAAATAATAAATACATATAATACACACATGTCTTATGTCAAAACAAACTTTTATTTTGGATTTAATTAATCGCGATTAATACTAGCTCAGCATTATTGTTATATTTTAAAGAATTGTAAAAATATTTAAATGTAATTTTAATAATTGTATAAAGCTGTATTTTTATTTAATTCAGTCATTATTCAATTTGTTTTAAAATGTGAGTAATTTCTTGGCATCCTTGCTAAATAAAATGTTTTAAATGGTGCTGTTTGTAGTTTCAAGTAAAAAATAAATTGTGTAAAATGTTTTAAACAAGGGTTGTTTTGTTGTAACGTCTCTACTGTTTGTGTTCAGGCTGATCTCGTACCAGGAGTTTCTGGCCTTTGAGTCAGTGCTGTGTATGCCTGATGCCCTCTTCATTGTGGCCTTCCAGCTGTTTGATAAAACTGGAACTGGAGATGTGTCCTTCGGTAAGAACAACACAGACTGAATATTAATCTATAAAATGGACTTTAACCTATATTTGTGTGTGCCACATATTAAATCCCATCACAGTTTAGAGTAGTTTATTTGCATGTTCCATGGTGTTTTATATGTAGGTCATTCCCATTCGTTGACTTCAGTTCATTCAGACATTTCAAGTATCGTTGCCTGTGTAGACTTTCAATGTTTTTACAGACATACTGTCCCTTTTACAGTCAGCTGACCGTAATATAATTATTCTAAACAAACAAGCAGCTTAGCCTTGAACACAGAGTCATTTATACACGCGTTCACGTGATCAGTGGAGCTAGTAAACAGCCTGAGTGATTTTACAATGTCTGTTATGTGCTGCAGGAGCTTAGTTTTGTGTGTGTTTGCAGAGAACGTGCGAGACATCTTCAGCCAGACGACCGTGCACCACCACATCCCCTTCAACTGGGACTGCGAGTTCATCCGCTTGCATTTCGGAAATGCCAGAAACAAGCGGCTCAGTTATCTGGAGTTCGGACAGTTCCTGCAGGTACCACACCCAGATAATTATTTAGGCTTAAAGGTGTTTGAGTATCACCTTTGACCTCAGTGTTGGAGTGAGTGTCAAAACACACTTGCAGCCAGTTAGTATTAAGTCTGATAGGGAGATGTGAGCGCATATTGGCATGTCGACTGTACAGGGTGGGCCCTTTATATGGATACATCTTAATAAAATGGGAATAGTTGGTGATATTAACGTCCTGTTTGTGGCACATTAGTATATGTGAGGGGCAAACGTTTTAAGATGGGTGGTGACCATGGTGGCTATTTTGAAGTCGGCCATTTTGGATCCAACTTTAGTTTTTTCAAAAGGAAGAGGGTCATGTGACACATCAAACATATTGGGAGTTTCATAAGAAAAACTATGGTGTGCTTGGTTTTAACGTTCTTTCATGAGTTATTTACGAGTTTCTGACCCCTTATTAAAGGGCCTCGTTTCAGCAGGGTGTTTTCACACCTTTACTTTGGAAAAAGTCAGAAAAGTGGGCGTGTCCAGCTCTGTTTGGGGGGATTGTCGGAGAAAGAAAAGAGGCTTGGTGTGGGAGTGTCTAGTGTCTATTTGGGCACGCGCTGACTTTCAGAGTCAAAACACACACACACACACACACAGGGGAGAAAGTAATGGTGTTTACATGGACATCTGTAGTCGAATTATTTGCCAAATTATTAAATGGTGGACTTTAACTGCAGTTTGGCTCTTTCATTCAGGGAATTCATTCATGTCCCTCGCGACAAACAAGATATTTGATTCGAGGAGCTGCTCTAAGCGTGTATTTTTCATGCAATGTTTGATACCGCACGGCGAATGAGAGAAAAAAAACCCTCCACATGTCCTGCAAACTTAGATGCACATAGCAGGTAGCGTCAGAAAGCCGCGTGTGTTATTCCGGTCACAAAATGCGGTGAAAATTATACACGAGGTTATAGTTTGGTTGTGGTGCTAACATGTTTACACTCTGTGCAATAGTTTGTTCGATAAGAACAAACTGAATAAACAAAGAGCACTGATCACTCACTTACCAAATCTGTAGAGACAGGACAATCACCAGCAACTAGAGCCGCGTCTTTATTAAGAGGAGACTACAAGCGAATCCGGATCTCAGCGTTTGCAGATGAGAACAGCTCTCAGGTAAACAATAATCCTCCTTAGACACGTAAGTTATTGTTGTCGAGCGTCGCGTACACTGTTAATCCACACGTGACTCCAGCTGCGCTCTCACAGAGAGAAAATGAAAACAAAACTTAACTGCAGCAAACTATAAAAGCAACACTTCACGCTTGTTTTGCCAACACAACGTGGCGTCTCTGTCGTCTAAACACTGTGACAGTAATGAATATTCATGAAGTTGCACAATAGAGCGCGCTGATTGGTTTGAACCAAGCCTTACTCATGCATTAATGCATCACACTGTAAGACGTAATAAGACACACTCTGGCACAGTCGTCCAGTCTGCACGCTGGAATACACGCTATTATGTCATGACCGTGACGCAGCTTCAAAAATTCGTTTCAAACCGGAAGTACGAATTTGCTTGAAATAACGCAAAAACAACCAATTTACACTTTTTAGTGAAATATAGGTGTCCTAATAGTGTTTTTAGCAGTGTGGGACACATATACGACTGTCAACAGCTCAAAACATGTGATTTGGTGTTTCGTGATCCTTTAAATGTGTTCAATGTGCTGCCCATTGTGTTGGATTGTTAATGCAACCATCTTCTCCCACTCTTCACACACTGATGTGTGACTATGACACCAACACCAATGACTATGGTGTGAAGGTTGCAATGACAATCCAACACAATGAACCAGCCCCAAAAATTATTTTAAGCTGACAAAAGCTCAAAAGGATTCAGTTTTCCCCACCAGTAAAGCTGACAGATGCTAACGTTGTCCTAAATGATGCTCAACACACAAAAAATCACAAATAAAATACTCGCTTTCTTGAACCTTTAATGCAGGGGAGCCACTTAAAGTAGAGGTTACAGGTCGGTGAGAGCCTGAAATCTTTCTTGATTTTTTTTGTCTCATAGTTGAGGCATACCTTGAAACATTACAGGCCTCTCTCAGCTTTTTAAGTAGGAGAACTTGCACAATTAGTGGCTGAGCAAATACTTTTTTGCCTCACTGCACACTTGTGCTTTCATAGGAGCTGCAGCTGGAACATGCTCGACAGGCGTTTGTGCAGAAAGACAAGGTCAAGAGCGGCATGATCTCATCCCTGGACTTCAGTGACATCATGTCCACCATTAGACACCACATGCTCACACCTTTTGTGGAGGAAAACCTCGTATCTGTAAGTGCACAGGCCTCTTTCTGGAGTTGGTTGTTTGGTGGAAGTTCCTCTAGATGGAAAGTGAATGTGTCTGTGTGTCCTCTTAGGCAGCAGGGGGCGGCACCTCTCACATGGTGAGCTTCTCCTACTTCAATGCCTTCAACTCTCTGCTTAACAACATGGAAATGATCCGTAAAATCTACAGCACTCTCGCTGGAAGTCGGAAGGACACGCTTGTCACTAAAGGTGCGGGCTGTCTGCAATAATTAGAAATATTATAATTAAATAATATGACATTAACATTTTCCTTCCTCTCTCTCCATTTGTAGAGGAGTTTGTTCATGCTGCAAACAAGTTTGGCCAAATTACCCCAATGGAAATCGACATCTTGTTCCAGCTATCAGGACTGCACTCCCAAACAGGGTAACGTCAATTTTGATAATGCATACATATGTGTATATTTCTGTTGCGTGCATTACCGTACGTTCACACCGAGAGCGTCCAAGGTTGCTCTGGCTGCCCTGGCGACAACGCTGTCTGCCTTTAGCTCCAGCGGCGAGAGCATCAAAACTCGCTACATTGATCTCGTATTTAAAGGGGCCGTTGCAGCAAATCAGTTACATTCCTGCATAAGACATGTTTCTAGCGTAAATGTTGCGCACTTCTTATCAAATTCATACAACAATGGAAGATCAAGTTGCATGTGGTGTGGCTTTGCTCTATTTATCCAATATGTGTCCAAATGTCTGAAATATCCTGAAGCAGCAGTACTGTTTTGTACTGTCACGTCGCGTGAGATTCCCGCTTTTTTTTAAGGTAAACATATATAACATTAATGCACATCAGTAACTCCCAGTAACTTATTTAATGCATGTTCATGTAAGAAAACATTGTAAATAATTGAAAATCCGCCGAACGCAATCATCAAACCCTTGGGAACAACTGTGGTCGGAACCAAAGCTCACAGGTCTGTGTTCTCTGAACTCTTATCAAGCGGTGGACGTCGTCATTCTGATTGCTTGCCGCCGAACCGCGTCATAGCTCATTACCATAAAGTTGACTTGATTTCAACTCTCCTCGATGCCCACGCCGGCGAAGACGCGCCTCGCTGCTTATCGCCGCCGGCTCTCATTGAAAATGAATGACTTCCGGCTACTTTGATGCTCGCGCCGCTTTCGGTGTGAACGTACGGTTAGTGTTTTTCCATTTTTCAGCACTGAATCCAGAATTATTAAGCTATTTTTCACAAAAAAAGTGCCATGAACCAAACCTTCCATATTTGAGGATAATCAGGCCAGTGCAAACTTTGATTTTAAATAAAGATATATCTGAATATCAGACAAAAGGCACAAGACTTAAGTGTGTGACAGAGGTACAATCCCATGAAGTACTACAGATGCAAGCAAATTTTGAACAGCAGAAATATAAAGCATACTATTGTAAAGAAACAGGTTTTTTCAGTACAGTTTGTTCTGATTGTTCAGATTATGTAATTCTTCTTGTGTTTTTTTGTTGGTTTTGTTCTGCATGGTTTATTAAATCCTGTGTCAATGACACAAAGCTTTCGTCCTGAAAATAGTTTGATAAGCTAACATGATATTAAAATTTTGCTCTTGATCTGTTGTTTCTGTATGTCATGCGCAGACGATTGAACATGACTGATATCGAGAGGATAGCTCCACTAGAGGAAGGATCCCTGCCATATAATGTAGCTGAGGCGCAGAGACAGGTGAGTTTACATGCCTAAGGCCTTGTTTATACTGCCAGTTAAAGGGCCATGACACCCCCCTCTTTCGGTTAAAGTCTACTTCAGAATTTTTTTCAAAAGATGCATGATTAATGCCAGCAGGGGAGAAGGAGAGCGAATAACTGTTGTTGACAGTTAGCTCACAAAATGAGACACAAAGAGGAGATTTAATGTGTGATTTAATGCCCTGCTACATTTGTTATTTGTAATTTCATATACACATAACCACAATTTATATCATTATAAAGATACGTGTGTTCATGTAAACCCTATAAATGAGGACTTCTCCCTCAATCCCGCAATCCAGCAGACTCGGTGCAGCAGGTCTCCTGAACTGTCTATTTTAACCGTTAGCCCTGCTGGTAATCTGGAGGATTTAGGCAAACACAGCAGCACAGTGATGTGTCTGAATGTGAACGAACTCCTGATAAGACAGCATCCGCCATTCTCTAATTCTCGTGCTGCTCTCCCGACAAAAATGCTAGCAGCACGCACACAGCTTTGCTGTATGATCGGCCCTGACAAGATCGCGGGGGAAAACATTCAACAAACCGCGTGGGTGATGGAAACAAACGCATATGAGCCTTCATGAACGGCTAAATACTGTGCCGTGGTTTCCGTGTCTCTCAGCTCGGGCTTGACACTGGCAGGTCTGGCAGGTCTCATGAATAATTAAGCAGCCGGCTCTTCTCATAGGATAAGAAAACTCTGCTATGAATAATAATGAGAAACCGACGTGTCATCATTGCACTTGCAGTTCTGCGCTACGTCGCCGATTTTGATCCCGCCCCAAAAATCGTTTTAAACCCGGAAGCTGAAATTAGCTGACGACAAGCTCAAAATTATCCAGTTTTCCCCACAATTAAAGCTGACAGGTGCTAACATTGTCTTAACTGATGCTCAACACACACACAGCTGTTAATATTTTTAAAAAAAAAGTTCTCCGGGGTGTCCTGAACCTTTAAATGTGACCCAATTTATATTTATATATATATAATTTTTTATTTTTTTATTGCAATCGTGATTTTGGAAAGTATTACTGCGCTTTGTAAACGTTTATTATTACCATATGATGAGTCTCCCCATACAGTTTGATAGAGCGCTTGGAATTAAATTAAATCTGCGAATATCAGGATGCTGTGTAGGTTATTAAATCTCGAAAAATCATGCTAAATTGGACATCATGCCACTGCTGGATTAGCATATGTATTCAGTTTATCAATGTTTCTTACAATCTGTATTTATTTAGCCAATATTTCCAGTTGAAACCTAAAGTGGTTATGAGGTGTTCAAAGACGGTCTTTATAAAGGTATTGTATTTTACTCACCAAAGCCATATCACAGTCCAAGACCGGTTACTCACTGAAGCTAAGCAGAGCTGAACCTGGGAGACCACTAGGGAACACTAGGTTACTGTTGGAAGTGTTGTTAGTGAGGCCAGCGGGGGGCGCTCAACCTGTGGTCTGTGGGACTCCCTATGCCCCAGTATAGTGAAGGGAACACTATACTGTCAGTGGGTGTCGTCTTTCGGATGAGACATTAAACCTGACTCTTTGTTGTCAGTAAAAATCCCATTGCACTGATCGTAAAGAGTAGGGGTGTAACATGGGTGTCCTGACCAAAGTCCCTCAATCGGCCCTTACAATCATGGCCTCCCAGTCCTCCCCATCCACCGAATTGGCTCCATCAGTGAGCGCACTGGCACCATTGTCCTGTGGCTGCCGTTGCATCATCCAAGTGGAGGCTGCACACTAGTGGTGGTGTGGAGAGACCCCCCCTCATGATTGTGAAGCACTTTGGGTGTATGGCCATACACAATTAATGCACTATATAAATACACATTACATAACTCTCTGGTTCCTGTATATACTCTGATATACTACTGTAAGAATTTGGTTGAGGACAGTGGTAGGGAACCTATGGCTTGCAAACCACATGTGGCTCTTTGACCAAAAACAATGCGCGGCACTGAATTGCGTCACCAATAAAGGACAAACTACTTATTTTTCTATGGCAACCTCATGCACACAACATTCATCAGTGGTGATGGAAAATAAAATAAAAAAATCTGTAAATTGTCCTTTCTTCATTCATGGACTCATGTTTGTTTATTTTTGAATTGTGCATTGACATAAATACAGGTTTTGTTTAAACCTTTATAGCAATATATCTATATAATTAACTTTTCTTCTTTAGGAATAAAATATAAGTATTTTATTTTCTGTCATTGCAGCATTCGCATGGGGAGGTTTCTCGGCCTGTGTGGCTGCAGGCTGCAGAGTCGGCCTACAGGTTCACTCTGGGCTCCATCGCTGGAGGTGCTCATTTCTTGCTGGATTAATTAGATAATTATTAATTTGTGTTTAAGAATGCATTGTAACCTGTAGTGTTTGTGTGCAGCCACCGGTGCTACAGCCGTGTACCCTATAGACCTGGTGAAAACCCGCATGCAGAACCAGCGCTCCACCGGCTCCTTCGTAGGAGAGCTCATGTACAAGAACAGCTTCGACTGCGCCAAGAAAGTCCTGCGATACGAGGGATTCTTTGGCTTTTATAGAGGTTGGATTTGTGCTATCAAAACAACTAATTATAAAATAGGCCTGCATGATTAATAGAAATGAAATCAAAATCTTTAAGCAGAAGTTGTGAGTTGTCATGCACATCTTGTCAGTAAAGCATGCTTCTCCAAATGTGCTGGGAGGAAACAACCCAAGAAATCCACATAATGTTGCATTATAAACTGCTTTCATTGATTCAACGTGACTATTAAACACACGACTACAGAGTCATCTCCCACAAGGATTTATTTCAAACAATTGACTGAAGGCATGAAGTAATTTGCAGTAGAAACATGTCATTAAATGGGGTATTTTTAAGTTTTTTGATGTAGCAGCAACACAGGGCCTCAGGCTGTACTCACACTATGTACATTTGCCTCGAACCGAGCCAAAGCACGCTTGTCCCCCCCTCCCGTCTCCCCCGACGGCCCGCACTCACACTACAATCGGGCCTGGGCACGCTTACGTCATCGATGCTGCGCTGTTCAGTAAGCACTCTCGCTCAGCACAGTGGAGATTTCTCTAGTTATATCGTTTAAGTCGTTTGATATGCAGTGACATGCAGTCAAATATTTCGCCTTAGGGATGCGGTGACGCGCAGTCAGATATTTCGCCGAACAGATCCGCCACTTTTGGCGCTCATAAACAATCATAAAGCCCTCGTGCTGCAGGAATGAGGAGGTCTGCTGAAGGCGCACAGCTGTGGTGCAGTGAGGGGTTTGCGTCTTTAATAATCTACGGCAGTTTGCGTTCATTGAACAGTAAGAATGATTAATAAATCCATATGAAACAGTCCCTTAAAAGTCACGTCTCACTTTTAGTTTTGGGCTTTGGCACGTTTTGCACTACAAGCGTATTGCGCCAAAGCCTAAGTGAACCACGCTCAGGCCCACCTTTTCTAACCGGGCCAGGGCCGGTCAATTGAACCGTGCCTGAGCCCGATTCAGCGCACTCACACTTCTCAAACGATCCGGGAAACGGGCCTGGAAACGGTTCGGATAGCATAGTGTGAGTAGGCCCTTAGTTTATTAAAAAAAAGCAACACAATCTGCTGTTATTCTGTGCTGACAAACTGACAATGATACAGATCGTAAAACTAAAGCTTCTTTATTTAGTCTCTTGTCAAGACAAGATCTAAAACAGTAGGGATTAAGCCAAAGGAAGGGTGGGTTAACTCCTATTTTTATCCAGGGCATGCGTTAGGGCCTCCCCTACCGTAATACACCTAAAACATGGATTGCTGTAAAACTCGTCAATAGCAAGGAAGCTTTATCTCCTTAACTGCAGGGAAAGAGTTAAACGAAAACATTTATTGATTTTATGCACACAATAATAGCAGCCATACATGTTAAGCACAAATAATGTCCTTCAATTCGGTCACGTCCAGCAGCCGTCACCCTTGAATCAATCTCCATCATTGTAAGCTGCTTGCTTTTCCGTCTGTTCCATTGCCCCGGTTTGTTTGCTTAAACGTTCTTTCGCTCGTTAAACGCAAAAAAAGCCCAATTAGTGCCACAGGATGTCTAATCAATCTTTGCATTGAATTCACATGTAAATCACTCGCGCTTCATCCGCGTCCGCTTACTGCAGTTTGCAAAACAATTCCGCCCCACTTTCATGTAATGTAATGATTGTGAGGGCGCAGGTGAGATGTCATTTTTCAAGAGACAATCAAATACATTACGTGTGCTGCGTATGCAACGTCTTTAAGTGATGTTAAACAGTTCATTGCATTCTGAAATAAATATAATTTGATTATATGGTTTGAAGTTTGATGTTTTATGAGTTTATTAACATATTTTGTGTTTAAATAGGAATTTTGCAGGATCTTTTTATTGATTTTTTTAAAAAAAATTTTATTGCGTTGGATTCAGCGATCGCGGAATCGTGGAAAACTAGGGGGTCTGGTTATCATCACAGAATGATTACGTTTGATTTCATTGTTGCTTGATTAAATGATCTGCAATCATAAAAGTTGAATTGAGTAGCTTGTCAGTGAACTTTGAGTCTGTGAAGTAAATGTTGCTCCATCTGAAAGCACATGCTGAAGGGTTACTACTGATTACAGAACCAGATTTACTGACAATATGCACATGATGGTTTTCTTTCTATTAATTAAGCAGCCCTAAAAGTGTGTTTACTTGTTTCTTAACTTTCATCTTACTTTGACTGTTTTTCTTCCTCCTACAGGTCTTCTTCCGCAGCTCATTGGAGTGGCTCCAGAAAAAGCCATCAAGCTCACTGTGAGTGTTATTAAACTGACTGTTTAGTTTTTAATGAGCTGCTCATGATGAAGCAATTACATTAGTAATGTGTGTGTGTGTGTGTGTGTGTGTGTGTGTGTGTGTGTGTGTGTGTGTGTGTGTGTGTGTGTGTGTCCTCCAGGTGAATGACTTTGTGAGGGACAAATTTACTACAAATGATGATACGATACCTTTGGCTGCTGAGATTCTTGCCGGTGGATGTGTGAGTATGATTAACTGCGCTGAAATGTACAGGTTCAGACATGATATGAGCCTCAATTTGGCACAATCTGATGTAGAATGACATGGAGATTTATGAACAACAATAGATCGAAAAGTGAAAATATTCGCTTCGCATTAGAATGGAAACCTGGCTACTCTTGACTTTCATAACAGATATGAATATTGTGTAGTCTGTAAACAGGGTCTCCGCAGGGTCTTAAAGTCTTATATTCACTGAAATATTGTCTTGTAGGTGTTAAATCATTTTAAACGGGTCTTAATTTTCCTTTAAGTAAATTTATTTAGTCAATCTAACACACATCCAATCACCAACAATACAGCCTTTATTCCAAAATGGATTTAATTATTATATTTCCTCAACTCTCCACACAATCCCCCATAATGACAATGTGTAAAAAGAGTTTTTGAAATTGTTGCAAATTTATTACAAATAAAAAAGCTGAAAGATTAGATGTACATCAGTATTCACAGCCTTTGCTCAATGCTTTGTTGATGCACCCTTGGCAGCAATTACAGCCTCAAGTGTTCTTGAATACGATGCCACAAGCTCTGCACACCTGTCTTTTAGAATTTCTGCCCGTTCCTCTTTGCAGCACCTCTCAAGCTCTATCAGGTTGGATGGGAAGCAACGGTGTACAGCCATTTCCAGATCTCGCCACAGATGTTCAATAGGATTTAGGTCTGGGCTCTGGCTGGGCCACTCAAGGACATTCACCGAGTTGTTGTGAAGCCACTGCATTGATATTTTGGCGGTGTGCTTTGGGTCATTGTTCAGCTGGAAGATGATTCGTCACCCCAGTCTGAGGTCATAAGCACTCTGAAGAAGGTTTTCATTCAGGATGTCTCTGTACATTGCTGCATTCATCTTTCCCTCTATCCTGACTAGTGTTCCAGTTCCTGCTGCTGAAAAACATCCTCACAGCATGATGCTGCCACCAACATGCATCACTTAGCCTGGTGATGAGCAGTGCCTGGTTTTCTCCAAACGTAATGCCTGGTATTCACTCCAAAGAGTTGAATTTTAGTCTCATCAGACCAGAGAATTTAATTTCTTATGGTCTGAGAGTCCTTCAGATGCCTTTTGGCAAATTCCAGACGGGGGGTGGCTTCCGTCTGGCCACTCTACTATACAGACCTGATTGGTGGATTGCTGCACAGAGCTCAGACAGAGTAACCCTTCTCCCCCTGATCACTCAGCTTAGATGGCCGGCCAGCTCAAGGAAGAGTCCTGGTGCTTCCAAACATCTTCCACTTACGGATGATGGAGGCCGCTGTGCTCATTGAAACTTTCAGAGCAGCAGAAGTTTTTCTGTAACCTTCCCCAGCCCTGTGCCTCGAGACAATCCTGTCTTGGTAGTCTACAGACAATTCCTTTGTCTTTATGCTTGGTTTGTGCTTTGACATGCACTGTCAACCCTGGGACCTGTATAGGCGTATGCTTCTTCAAATCAGAACTCTAATGAAGCTGCTGAAACATCTCAAAAATGATCAGTGGAAACAGAATGTACCTGAGCTCAATTTAGAGCTTCACGCCAAAGGCTGTAAATACTGATGTACATTTCTGATGTACTGTTAGTCTGAAATAAAATTTTTGATGTTCTTAAATTTGATTTGGTGAAACCTGCTGAAACCCTGGTAAAGTGTAGTTCTTCATTGGCTAAACCTTCCATCTCTGTCTTTCCAGGCTGGTGGTTCGCAGGTTATCTTCACCAACCCTCTGGAGATCGTCAAGATTCGTCTGCAGGTTGCTGGTGAAATCACGACAGGCCCCAGAGTGAGCGCGCTCAGTGTGATTCGAGACCTCGGCTTCTTCGGCCTCTACAAGGTCTGTATCAAAAACACTCTTTCCATTCAGAACTGACTTTGTAACCACTTTCCTGAATCACTTTCAGAATAGCAATCCTTTAATGCAGTGTTTCTCAACCATGTTTCTAGAGGACCACCAGCACTGCATAATTTTCATGTCTCCTTAATGATCCTGTGAAATTAAAATACTTTTTTTTTTAAGATGTTAGTTTTAAGGATATCTATAAGCTAGTGTGAACCAAAACAATTGCAAAATTCCCGTTTTGAAGATAATAAACCTTTAAAGTTAGTAGTTTGTCACTTCACTTCTAACTGGACTAACGATTTTATTCATGTTACCTCATACTAGTTTCTCATCAAATATTAACCAATCATATGCTTTCTATTATCTCACATGCCCCGCCCCCTTCAGTACGCTTTCCATTGGCTTTTAATTTGATGCGCTTGAGCTCAATCACTCTCACTGGCAGAGCTGTGATAAAACAAAATGCTATTGGCTGTTTTTTTAAAGGGGGAGGAGCTACTATGTCCCATCCTCTCTTCATTTTTTCGGTGGAGTTTTTTAAAGCACTTAATGGGACCTTTAACCAAACACACCTGATTCAGATCATCGGCTCGTTAGCAGAGACTGAAACACCTGTAATGGGTGTGACAAAGGAGATATCCAAAACTTGCAGTGTTGGTGGTCCTCCAGGAACATGGTTGGGAAACACTGCTTTAATGTACGGTAAATGTTAATGTTTTTTTGTTTGTTTTTAAACTCCACAGGGCGCCAAGGCTTGTTTCCTCCGAGATATTCCCTTCTCTGCCATCTATTTCCCTGTTTATGCTCACACGAAGGCTTTGCTGGCGGATGAGGATGGCAGACTAGGAGCTCTGCAGCTGCTGAGCGCTGGTGCCATCGCAGGTCAGAACAAGTTTGAGTTTCTTTCTTCTGTTGAACACAGAGGAAGATATTTTGAAGAATGTTCGAAACCTGTAACCATTGACTTCCATAGTATTTGTTTTTCATTCTATGGAAGTCAATGGTTACATGTTTTCAGCATTCTTCAAAGTATCTTCTGTGGTGTCCGAGAGAAGAAGCTCACAAATGGTGACACATTTCAGTTTTGGGTTTGAGCTCCAGCCATTAGGGTGCTGCCTAAAATAAAACCCCGCCCCCTATTCAATATTCAGTTTCCGTTGGAAGTACATCATCATACTGAAATAAAAGTCTGCAGCTACTTCCGCTTCACACAGACTTTAATCATGCTCTCTCCAGTGATTCCCTTTCATGCCTTAATAGACGTCTGGATGATTTGGATTGACAGGTGTTCCTGCCGCCTCATTGGTCACTCCTGCCGATGTCATCAAAACACGACTGCAAGTGGCCGCCCGTGCGGGTCAGACCACGTACAATGGAGTGATCGACTGCTTCAGGAAGATTATGAAGGAGGAAGGCTTCCGAGCGCTGTGGAAGGGAGCTGGAGGTACACACACACGCACACACATACACACAGTCGTATGCATGTGTATTCACTCACTAATCTCTCTCTCTCTGTTCTCCGCAGCTCGTGTTTTCCGCTCGTCTCCTCAGTTCGCTGTGACTCTGCTGACCTACGAGCTCCTGCAGCGATGGTTATACGTTGACTTCGGAGGACAGTAAGTGCTAATCAGACGTTTCTCACAGACGTACGATCTACATTTCTCACAAGGAAATACAGTTGAAAACACAATTATTAGTCCTACTGTAAAATAATAATTGTTTTTTCTTCCAAGTGATGTTTAAATAGAGCAAGGCAATTTTTTCCTGTTATATATATATATATATATATATATATATATATATATATATATATATATATATATATATATATATATATATATAGCCAGTGCTGATGATATGGCATTTAAACAAAGTAATAATCAATTTATTCAGTATTTTTACATTTGTAATTAAACTTTTTCTCAGAAGTTCTAAATGAAGAAAAATAATAACATATAAACGAGCACATTTTTTCGTTTTTATACTTAATTATTTAAAGAGGAAATAGTCATTTCCATATACATTAATAGATTTTTTTTATTGGATTTACAGAAAAGCTACTACACCTATTGTGTAATATATCATCAGGATATGAGATGACTTGTATTGTGAAATGTGTTTTTGAAATGTATTTCTGCCTGTTTCACACCGCACGCACGAGCAGAGCATGCGCTGCGTATATGGAGAGCAGAGGCAGTGCCACAGGCGTTTGCCTTTCACACCAGCTGCATCTGCAGTCTGGGTCGGCGGCTGTTGCACAGATCAGTCTATCTTCATATATTCTATCTTCTTACCTATATATATATATATATATATATATATATATATATATATATATATATATACATATATATATATATATACATACATACACAGTTGTAGTCAGAATTATTAGCCCCCTGGATTATTAGACCCCCTGTTTATTTTTTCTCCAGTTTCTGTTTAATGGAAAGATTTTTTTAACACATTTCTAAACATAATAGTTTTAATAACTGATTTATTTTCTCTTTGCCATGATGACAGTAAATAATATTGTACTAGATATTTTTCAAGACACTTCTATACAGCTTAAAGTGACATTTAAAGGCTTAACTAGGTTAACTAGGCAGGTTAGGGTAATTAGTCAATTTATTTTATAATGATGGTTTGTTCTCTAGACTATCAAAAAAAAATTAAGCTTAAAGGGACTAATAAATTTGACCTTAAAATAGTTTTTAAAAAATTAAAAACTGCTTTTATTCTACAAAGCAAAATAAAAACAAAACAACTAAGGCTTTCTCTAGAACAAAAAATATCATCAGGGCATCCACTGCGTTAAACATATGCTGGATAAGTTATTTTATCATTTTATTTATTTTTTTTTTTTAGTTATTTTATCAAATTATCAATGCAATGGCACTGTAATTGAGCCCAAACTGCAAAAATAGACCAGCGCCGAAACTATCGCTGACATGCTGCTTCCGCTTGACATATGAAAGCTCTAATCTGTTAACATGGATGCTGAAAAAAACGTGCTGCTCACACTCTGCTGGCATGTGCGGTGTAAAACAGCCGTTAAAGGAGGTTAGTTTTGATATTACGGCTGCATGTCGAGTCTTTCTGCGGTCAGAAAAGTCTAACGCTTCTCTTCTCATTCCAGTCGTCCTGCTGGTTCTGAACCAACACCCAAATCTCGGATCTCTGAGCTTCCTCCGGTCAGCTCTGAGCATGTCGGTGGTTACCGTCTGGCAGCCGCCACATTTGCCGGCGTGGAGAACAAGTTCGGACTTCACCTGCCCAAGTTCAAATCCTCCGGCATCTCAACCATCCATCCCGAAACACCCAAGGAAACAGCCGGCGCTTCCTAAAACAACTCCTGCTCCGCTCTCCATGGCCTTGTCCTCCAGTGGCTGCATGCCTCCATCTCACAGTACATCTGCCTACACTCTTCACTCTTTCATTTCTTTCAGTTTCCAGGTGGGGGACATGGGGAAATTCAGCTCATTTTCAGGGTAACCCTCATCAGTGCCTCGGTTTTGATGAAGAACACTGGTCACAGGTCATAGTTAGTGTGTTTTCTGAAGCACAGGGTAGATTTGCCACACTGATCAAGACCTAAAGCGACACACGCGCTCAGTGTATTATCAAACAAGGGCTCTAGAGAAGTTCAGCAGCCACTGGCTAATGCTAAAACACCTAACATGAAACACTCCTGAGAGAAAAGCCTAGTGTTGGTTTTTTTTTGTTGTTGCTCTGCTCCCCGAGACGCACATCTTGCTGCTTTTTGAGTTTTATCCTGATGATTATGATGTATTGATGTGACCTAAGCATGCTGTTAGCGCTCTTCATTTGGCTTTGCGTAGCTTGCACATGTACTGTATATACATGTACATCTCAATCCACAGAGAGTCTCGCTCTCTGCGTCACACTGAGCGATGTACAGAGGTTTCAAAACTTGATCCACTGATCCCCAAAACAAAGTCATGATTGGTTTGAAACGTAGGAAATAATTTAAATGCATTCGTTCTTGTATTTTATGGAAAATAAATCAATACTGTTAAATTTTATTTCTAGTTTGTGAAGGTTTTATTGGGTTTGTTACAGATACAAAATAGAGGTGAACGAGTGGAAAGTATTGCAGGAGCAAACACGCGTGCAGGGCAGCAAGAAGTCAGACGATCATTTATATAGAAATCACATGCTAATTCTAGCTGGGGAAAATAATAATTAATGATCATGTGATCTAATTGATTACTAGCTATGTTTCCATCCACCTATTCTTATGCGCAATTTGCATATGCGCATAAAAAAACTGTTAATGACGTGATGCGCATAATATTTGAAAATGCGCATAAAAGCCGTATGCACATGATTGTGTAGGATAAACGTTTTATTTGATAAGAAAAGATCAGCATAAACTATGATGGAAGCACTTTAATTCAATAAATACCAGTATATGTGATTCTGTGATAAGAGATCATGTGATGATTAAAATGTGTGTAAATGGACAAACCAGCAGGCTGAGCACATTGTAAAACATCTGAACTGTTGTTTTGGTCATTCTAAAATGCCTTACCGTTTAAGTCTTATATTATTAACAGGGTTCAATGCTAAGGATTTCTTCTACTGATCCGATCGGGCCAATAGTTCAGACTTTTACTTGCCCTGTCAAAATTTTCACTGGCCCCATCAAAAAAAAAAAAAAGCCAAGTTAATAGTTATTTTTTTAGCTACATATTTTAATTAATGTGTCAAAAATTAATTTACGAATCTTTAAAAAATGTTAATAAATGTATAATGAGCAAAATTCAGTGTTTTGCAAACAAAAAGTGCAGTGTGGAAAATGTGGAGGTGTTTTATTGCAGTTCCAAATTATTTAACAAAAGGTGGCTGACTGGCAAATTGTGCAAACATTTTTTAAAAATAAATAAATAAATAATCGTTTCATTTTTTTCCTTGTGTTCTCATGCAAATGTCTGCTTCCAAGACGTTATAAACAGACATTTTATTTTAGCCTCACATTTTTTCATGTTGCCGCCGTGATGTCGTCTCTACTGGTTGTTACCAGGTTACGAAAAAAATAGCATGCTGAAACATTAAATCAGATTAGAGGATTTGAAAAGCAATATGGTGTTTACGACATCACAGAGAAGGTTGCATTTTAAGACCAAAGAGCACAAACTTAAAATTAACAAATTAAACTTTAGTGACAAGGCGGCACTGTCCCAATCGGGCCAGTAATAATCCTGTCTACTGTCCCAAGCGTCTCTCACACTGGCCCCTGGCCATAGGGCAGTCCTTATTGTTGAGCCCTGATTAATGGCCTCCAGAATCAAGAGCGTCTGCACTCCACATCTGACACCTTCAAATGCCAATACGCATTCACTGTGTGTCGGCATTGTCTTCTGAGGCGCAAGTCATTTATTAGGTGAAGAAAAGATTGACGCAGCTTTTCCTACTGCAGCAAATTCCGTTATTACTGTTGATTTTTGGCACCAGTTAATCAGGAAATGTCGATTTTCTTCACTTTCATTCGTTAATTGGAAGCGCTGCTTTGTCCGCACATTTTTCTTGCGATAATTCAGTTTTGCGCATAAAGTTCATTAGCATTTTTGGATGGAAACATAGCTACTGGAGGAGACTGTGGTCTAATTGCATTCCCATACGAATAAGAGAATTTTAAGCAAATATATAAACACCACTGAAATATTTGAAAACGTTTTCAGCTACATTAGCAGATTAACTCTTTAACTTTCACTCTAAAGGCTCGCACACACCAGGACGCTTTTCGTTTGTGTTTATGGTCAGCGTTTTTCCCGATTCAAACCCAAGAGATTTTTCACTGGCGTCGAGCAGAAGAGTATGCAAAATCACTCCTTGACGTTGGATAGCGCTACACAACTTTAAGCTTCTGACACTCACTCGTAACACAGAAGAAAAAAAGAAATGATTATTGTTCACCAGTGCAATAAGCAGCTCTACGTTCATATCGCCTCAGGGCATCTTCTTCAATGTGCGCTCGCATTGACAGTTTTGAGCGCCTCCCAGTGCTGTTTACTGTAACTTCAGCAGCTCCGTGCAGATGACCAGAAGTGCCAATCTGATTGGTGGAGAAGGTTTTGATGCTGCATGTCAAAACAAAGAAAACAAGCATGAGGCGTTTCTTTAAAAATGAGACTATTGTGCCTGGGATTTTGCGCGTTGGTGTGCACGATCACATTGGTTCCCCTTATTTAGTCACAAGGCGTTAAATCGACGGAAAATGCGAGCAAAAAGCATCCCGGTGTGAACGTGCCTTAACTGTGCATGATTCAACACTTTCAGTTAGAGTTAATAAGAATAAATGTCTTCCTTGAATCGTTAACAGGGCGTCACGGTAAATCTAGAACAGATTATTTTCAGATATTGCTTTAGATTTGGTTATAAATGAAAGAACCAGCTTAATTTGAACCATTATCGGCTGGTTGTTTCCACACATCAGTGTTCAAACACCATGTAAAAATGCATTTTGAATAATGGGTCCCCTTTAAATTTGTCATCAGAAGTGAGTTCAGAGACTCAGACTAATATAGTCAGTGATGTCCTTTGGAGTCTGCAGATATTTCCTTTCATGCTCAAACAGCACTATTATACACTGAAGTAAGTTAAACACGTAAAACGTATAACAGATTACCCCTTTAAAGAGTCTCAAGCTCCTTATCCTGAACACAAAGTAAAGAAATCCGCTTTATTGAACTTTTCCTGCAATTGTAAATATCCGTTTTAAAATTGCGGATGTGTCTGACTTTTCTTTTTGTTGACCCTGATGAATGTTTGATCAGATACAGAGGTAAACGTATATAGCACTAAACTCAGAAAACAACGCTTAAAGGAAACAAACAAAACACAACAGCTCTGGTTCAGAAAATGAGTCTAGCTCAGGGATGGGCAAACTCGGTCCTGGAGGGCCGGTGTCCTGCACAGTTTAACTCCAACTCTAATCAAACACACCTGCTTATAGATCTCTAGTGATCTTGAAGACACTGATTGGCATGTTCAGGTGTGTTTGACTAGTGTTGGAACAAAACTCTGCAGGGACACTGGCCCTCGAGGATCAAGTTTGCCCATCCCTGAGCTAGCTTTTGGCTGGTTTGACTTTCTGCACTTGTTTGTTATAAGTTTAGCCCCCAGTTTCACGAACAAGGTTTAAGGCTAGTCAAGATTAAATTGCATGTTTGAGCTGTCTCAACTCAAAATAACTTGCAGTGAGATGTCTTAAAATACACCAGTCATTTTTTTTCACCAGGTATCCAGGTGTCAGACCCTGATTGTGAAACTGGGCCTAGGTGTTCTGAACCATTGTGTTTTTAGGTTTAGATTTAATCTGTCTCCATTTAAAACATCATTATGGCCAATTTATTTCCTAAGATTTTAGGCAACAAAATTATTAAGTTAAAAGACAAGCTGATTGAGTTTTTATATTGCGCTAATTAATGTTATTTATACAACGTCAAGAAAAATACATACATAAATTAGATAAATACTACTAAAATCCATAGAGTGGGCATAACTTGTAATATTTCTTTAAGAGAATTAAATGCAAATCACATTTGGGTAAATTTGCACATTTAAAATGTGAAATATGCACTTTATTAGGTACACTTTACTAGTACCGCGTTGGACTCTCTTTTGCCTTCAGAACTGCCTTAATCCTTCGTGGCATAGATTCAACAAGGTACTGGAAATATTCCTCAGAGATTTTGCTCCATATTGACGTGATGATCACGCAGTTTCTGCAGATTTGTTGGCTACACATCCATGATGCCAATCTCCCCTTCTACCACATCCCTAAGGTGCTCTATTGGATTGACAACTGGTGACTGTGGAGGCCTTTTGAGCACAGTGAACTCATTGTCATGTTCAAGAAACCACCCTGAGATGATTCGCTCTTTATTACATGGTGAGCAGTTGGGCAGGTGTACCTAATAAAGTGGCCAGTGAGGGTATATAAATGTAACAGGTTGCAGATATGATCACGTTACAACTCGGTTAAACTTTTTAGGAAAAAATGAATTAGTAAAACAAATGCAAACTATATGACTAAGGTATTCTAAATATTCAGAGATGTTTGAAGAGCTAATCAAATGACCACTTATTTTCCCAACGGGGTTTTTTATAAACAACAAAAGGCAAAAAAGAAAAGCTTTTTTCAGTCTAAAGCTCCGGAATAAATAAGCACCAATAGGCTATAATGCATGTGTGGTGGAAGATTGCAGATACATGTGAATGTATGTGAGTGTTAAGGTTTGCTTTAAGGCATTCAGTTGGAAAGTGTGCTCTGTGTTTTACACCTTCAGTCATTATGAGCTAAAAATGAAAAGCATTTGTTAAAAAGCTATAAATAATCCAATAATGTTCAGGTTTGAATGTTAAAAATATTCCACCTCCTAAAAAATCCCTGTTGTTCTAGGTTGCGTCAGTGTTTATAAAGATCCTGTACAACTCTTTGCTTATTCGTAGCATTAATGAACGAATCGCTGTTTTTCAAATCAGCCTCTAATCCTATAAATAGATTTTTAAAAAAGGCATTATTCCTATTTTATTTAATCCACGTTAACCGTTCCATCCCAGTATGAATTTTGCGCCCAAATTTGACTAAGTGCTTAATATATTAATACCAAAGTCTTGCACTCTGAAATCGTTACACCTTCAGAATTAAAAGAGCCCTAGATTGTCATCCAGTAACACTAAATATAACTTCAGAGAGGGTGGAGATATGCAAATGCGGAGGAAACATCATTGGTCACCAGGGGGTTGCAATGGTGATCATGCAGCCAATCGCTGAGCAGCCAGTTCCTCTACGTCCTCGCGGTTCTCGTTGATCTCGGTGAGCGTTCGCACAAACCGAGTCCACTCGTCCTGACGCGGCACCGAGATTTGCTGCAGAGAAACAAACAGATGCACAGAGTTCACTTGGATTTAGAGGAAGTCATATTCATATTTCATCTTAATTATGTTTGTTTTAATCAACTACGTGTCACACGTTTGAATCGACTGAATCTAACCTAGATTTAGTTTCTATTGTAGATTGTGTGTTAAAATAACAGGTTTAATCGTAATGTATTAATAAAGGATATATTTAAACGTTCATTTTATAATAAATTACTTATAATAAACATAAATATGAAAGTTTGAACAATACAAACACAGATTTAACTCTACAGGCATAACATTAAGTAAAATGGAAATACTTTACAGGGCTCAAAATTGCAACATTTTGTCGCATATTTGCCCGAAATTTTATCTATGCGACCCTGAAAATATATTTGGAAGCATTTGATGCCGTGCAACCAGTTTTCACAGCAAAATGTTCACCACATGCGCAGAATTAGGAGACAATCACTTATTAAGCATCTTTGCACCTAAAAACACCAAACGCAGTGTTCAGGAATGGTTTAAAACTGTTGACATGTTAACTTGCTGCAGTAAACAAAGCCCGTAATGCCCGCCCCGCCTTCAAACTCTTCTTTTTGGCCCACTGCACTAGAACAGAATGCGAATGGATTGGTTAATATCAGCTGTCAATCACTCAGTTCCGATGACAGGGAGCTACAGCTGCGGGTCTGTATACGAGAGAATGAAAAATAACACCGGCAGGTTTAGTTTTAGAAACCACCTAAAGTTACAAATAATGGCAGATCTGATTAGTGATCATGTGGTGAATGTCAATCCAGCATTTACACTTTTCCAAGAGTGGATAAAAGACTTCCAGTGTTTAAAGTCCATTATGAAAATGACTAAAGCATTCACCGTAAAGTCGGTGGGACGGAGTTTTGAGATAACAGTGTTTGCCACTGAATCTGCACATTAAGCACGAGATGTTCTAACGTTATTTAATCCTTCATTTAATCCTTCAGTTGTGCGACTGACACAGTGTTCACCATCGCTAAAGAGCTGCATTCACTGAGATGAAACTAATATTGCAGCTCATGAAAAGACCATTACTGCTATTAAGATGACGTATGCAAATAATGTTATAAATAATAAAACAAGTTATATTTCAATATCATCTGTGCAATATCAGCACCTGTGAGAACAGCACAGTTATTATTGTTAATTCAGTTCATCTCATTCATGTCAAGCAGTGCGTGCAGGGCCGGTGGGCGCATGCAGATTTTTGTTTGTTAGTTAGATTAGAGTGTTAATATATAATGGAATCTGTTAATACAATACATGTAGTAACAGTGCTCATACTTTTTAGTGGGTGCACCTAAATTTTGATTTGCCTAAATTTTTATAGAGCACCGACGCTACCAAGAAAAAAAAAAGGTTAATTTCGAGCCCTGCTTTAATGTAAATATAACATAGCATCCGTCATTCAAGCAGCCATATTTACGTGCATAAATGAAATATAACTTATTTTTACTAAACTTTATTGTGCTTTCATTTTCTCCATCACACTCAAGGCGAGATTTGTCAAACTGGCCTTTGAGAGTTTATCAGGCTGGTTATTTTAGTAGTGATGAGGGTCAGTAGAGGTAGCCTATTACAGATTTCAATGAACAATCTTAATATTAAAAAGAAAACAAGCTAGACCACAGCAGGATACATCAATATCGTAATGAATGCTCAAATAATGTAGCTTAGGCCCCGTTTACACTAGTGCGTTTTAGTTTGAAAACGCATAAGTTTTGCTACGGTTACGCCAACCGTCCACACTACGCCGGAGTTCTCGAGCGCCGAAAACGGAGCTTTTTGGAAACGCTGGAGAGGCCGTTTTCATTCTAAAACGCTGCTGCTCCGTCTCAGTGTGGATGGGGAAAGACGGAGACATCTGAAAACGGAGGCGGGGCTGCAAATGTTCGCCTCTCTGATTGGGGCTTTTCCTCAATATTAAGTAGCCCACACACAGTTCAGTCTCGCATCCTCTTCTTGTAAGTTAAGACTTCGCAAGTTTGATCAAGGCTGCAGTCTCCCCCTTCTCAGTTTGATATGGAAAACATACCGAGGACACGGGTAAATCTTCAAAGGGAACAGTGTACTTTATAACTTCATTCACATCACCTTGGCTACGTTGTTTCACTTTCTCAACAATAAAATGTAAACATGATTTAAGGAACTGCCTATTTTCATTTTAATATTAGCAACTAAACAGACAGCAGAAATGTTGAGGCGCCGTGCTGCATATATGAGCGTCATCTTCACTGTGTGGATATTTATAACAAAACGGAGCCTATAACAACTGCCTCCTTTCATTTTCATTGAAAATACGAAACGCACCCTCTCTTTTGCTGAATATCAGTTTTAATAATCGATAATTATAAAAGTATAACATACAATAAGTTTATACATTGTAGGAAATAAAGGCAAGAGATCAGTCAATGTACCTGGATTAATCATTAACTTATCTTTGCGCTTAACCAAAACATGTTACCCGTGAACAAGTAACTTAATAGATTCCAATGACCAAAGTCAGGGAATTGGCCTATGTCGTTAGATAAAGACAACAACATGAATGAAATATCACGTTTAGCAAATATGGTGAGATTAGATCCAGCGGGAGATGCTTGATGAGCAGTCCGACAAGCAGAGCTCTCATCTGGGTAGAAATGCTGGAGCACTTGCCCGAGAGTGTGTGTGTGGTCACGTGATGTGCGTTTTCAGCGTTTTGGTGTGGACGGAGAGCAGTTCAGAAACTCTGGGTAAAACGCGAGTGTGGACACGGATCGTTTTCATTCTACAACGCCGTTTTAAAACTAAAACGCACTAGTGTAAACGGGGCCTTAGTTGACAGCCAGCATCCCGTTTTTAGTAGGATCATGTCATCTTTTATATACAGTAGGCCTATAGGTCTGTTATTTTTGATCGATACTCAGAATTTTGACATTGAGATGGGATCAGTTCCAAAATAATGGTATCTGTTCTATGTAGAATGCTGGTGTCGTTCTAGTAAATTAAAACTGATTCAGTTCAGTTCAGTATAAATGGCAATGACCTTTTTAATGACATTTTAAAGAATTAATGTAGTGTGTGTGTTATCCTCCTCACCTCTCCGACATCATAAATGTGCAGCTGACCCTCAGAGTCTCCGACAGCCACCTCTCTTCCTGAATGAGCCCAGCGCACACGGTTCAGTGCAGGGTTTCCTTCCACCGTCACACTGGCTGTAGGAACCTGAAACAGCAGGTAATGCTTCAATATTCATGGATTTGTTCATATTACAGTATATTACCGCTTGATTTGTGTACCTCGGTTTCATTGTTGAGGTTCCACAGGTCCAAATGGCCGACGCCGTCCACACAGGCGAACAGAGCCGGGTGAGTGGGAGACCACATCACATCATACACGTAATCTGAGTTATCCTCGAAAGAGTACAGAGGCTTGTTGTTCTGTCAGGAGAGAGACAAGATGAAGTTGTTTTATAAAAACCAAAGATTTAAAACTGTCTTCATTCAAAAAATCTTTAAAGGTCCCGCGAAGTGCTTTGAAATTTGCAATTTTATTCAGTGTTTCACATAATCTCGACATGAAGAGAGGGAGGAACATAGTGTAGCTCCTCTCCTTACAAAAACAGCCAATAGCATTTTGTTTTTAGTGAGAGTGGTTGAGCTAAAGCACATTAATTGTGAAGCGTCTTGAAGTGGGCGGGGCATGTCAGATACTAGAGAGCATTTGATTGGTCAGAAGATTTGATGAGAAACTGAAGTATGAGGTGACATGAATACAATCGTTGATCCATTTCGGCGGAAGTGACAAACTACAAGATTTGCATGTTTATATTAGTGTTATATCTCCTAAAAGCTTGTTTTGTCACTGTTTTGGTGCGCAATAGATTATAGATATCTTAAAACTAACAATACTTATGTTAACATCTAAAAAAAACTTTATTTTAAATTCATGGGACCAAACCCGGAAAAAAGTACTCATGCAAGTAAATTACATACAAATCCAAATTACAGCGTAAACAAATTACAACAAAGTTATCTGTGCGAATGATGCAGAATGCATACCGTTTGCCACAGATATGTGGAATTCCCCTCAAACCTTTCTACTGTGCAAGTCCAAATAATAAACCCACACTATAAATTCATGTGTGGGTAAACCATCCCATGAGTGAACTAGAGCAATGGTGTAACAAAGGTTATCGGCACAAACGATGCAGAATGCACAACATGTTTGCAAATGTGGAATTGGCCTCAATCGTGTCTACCGCGCAATTCCAACGTGTTGACCCCAATCGAAAAATTCACATTTGAGTAAAACATCCTGTGAGTAAACTAGAGCAGGGATTCTCAACAGGTGGGCCGCAGCCCACTAGTGGGCCTCTGTGATCCTGGAGATGTGCCGTGAGATAACTTAAACACTACAATTATACAATTACACTATAATTATTTGATTTCATTATTAAATATGTCATAATAAAATGATAGTAGTAATGGCATTTCCAGTTTTCTGTGATTGAACAGGTTAATTCAGACAGTACAAAAACAGCCTCACTGTTAATTACAGTAATATAATTTCCAACTAGGACTATGTTCTCTGTTGTAAAAAGCAAACAGTCACGCAAATGTTAAGGTAACGACGATGAGAATTATAATAATCAGCTCGCACTTGCCTCACGTCTGCGACTTGTACTGTTTCAGAGTTGTACAAGTCTGTTAATTCACAAACTATGCCTGCTCTCTTTGTGTAAACACTTTAAAATATCCTCATAGTTGTCCAAATTAATGCTTGCGAGTGTTTTATAACAGACGCGCACATGTACAGGTTATATATATATATATATATATATATATATATATATATATATATACAGTTAAAGTCAGAATTTTTAGCCCCCCTGAATTATTAGACTCGCTGTTTATTTTTTCCCCAATTTCTGTTTAACAGAGAGAAGATTTTTTAAACACATTTCTAAACACAATAGTTTTAATAACTCATTTCTAATAACTGATTTATTTTATCTTTGCCATGATGACAGTAAATAATATTTGACTAGATATTTTCAAAGACTCTTCTATACAGCTTAAAGTGACATTTAAAGGCTTAACTAGGTTAATTAGGTTAGCTAGACAGGTTAGGGTAATTAGTCAAGTCATTGTATAATGATGGTTTGTTCTGTAGACTATGGAGAGAAAAAAATTGCTTAAAGGGGCTAATATATTTGTCAATATATAATAATATAATTGTCTAATATATTTATAAAATAGTGTTAAAAAATTAAAAACAGCTTATATTATAGCTGAAATAAAGCAAGTAAGACTAGTTATTAAAGTATTATCAGACATACTGTGAAAATTTCCTTGCTCTGTTAAACATCATTTAGGAAATATTAAAAAAAGAAAAAAAATTCAAAGGGGGGCTAATAATTCTGAATTCAACTATATATTAAATAAATAAGGGAATAATAGAGGGTAAAAGAAATGTTTAACTAATAAATAAAGCTTTAAAATAGGCATTTTCTCCGGCTTTTAAGAAATATTCGGTTGGCCTGCCCTTGAAGTGAAAAAGATAAAGAACCCCTGCAAGTGACACAGTGCTTCGCATATGGTGTAAACCCAGCATGACTTAAGTGAAAATGAAAAAAAATAAATAAATAAATAAGTTTTTGATGCAGTCCTGTAACTGAAAAAACAAGAAAAGAAAAACAAAAAAAACTGCTTTTTCTCTTACCATAAAAATATTAGACTAAAATAAATAAATATGAACTAATGAAAAACTATTAAAATAATTCATTGAAATAAGCTGAACTTATGACTAAAATGAATAAATATGGCTTATTTATCTTTCAGCAGAGAAAAAAGCAGCACTGCTATTACCTAAAAGACATAAATTAAATGTTAATGTAATAAAAATACGTAAATAAATAAAGCCTTAAATTAAAGAAATCCATGGCTCATTTAAAATATTATCAGGTCAAATAATGGTGCATAATTGATGTGTACACAGTGTGGTGCAGTCAGCTATGTACATGCAGCGTTTAAGGCTATAGTGTGTTTGTCACCTTTGTGCTCCAGAGTTTAACAGTCCAGTCGAAAGAGGAAGTGACGAACAGGTGAGAGAAGTCGACCGGTCCTGCTGCTGTGTGGCAGTCCAGGCCTGTGATTGGTCCATGATGACCCTCAAACATCTCACTGATGCCCGCTTTACTACAACACACACATTAACATGGTTCAGGTGTGAAACTGACACACTTGTGTACTTGTATACATAGTTTACAGTAACACTTCATAGGTATAATGTATTTTATACAGTAAAAACAGTTATTATATGAATGATATTGTCCCTGTAAACCAGCTTAATAGAGTACAGCTAAGTCATACCCATGTCATTATACAACTAATAAACCTGCACACACACCTGCCGTGTCGACACGCCGTGTAGACAGACCCATCCTCACTCCCCACCACAAAATTATTGACGTCACCCAAAGGAAACGACATTGAGGTCACAGCTACTGACTTAGACTGCTTGAAGACGAGCTCCAGGCTGTCCTGAAAACACACACACACACTCAAGCTGAGTCTGACTGCAGTTAAGAATCTGAATGAATGAGACCAAACGACTCCAATTTAAACTCTACTTGCGCTTCTGATGTTAGCAAAAATGCTACAAACATGTTAAATCCTAAAAAGACATGCAAATCCTAATTAGCAACATGTCAAACTTGTGCTAAAACACACTAGAAACATGTTTAAAATGCTATGACATGATCGAAGCATGCTAGCAACATGTTCAGTTATTCCTAGCAACTCACTAAAACATTGTAGAAAGATGTTAGCAATGTAAATTCATGCTCATTATCGCTAGCTACTTACTAAAACATGTTATCTAGGTGGTAGACATTGGGAACATGCTAGCCACATCCTAATTATTAATACCAACTGCTATCAGCTTGTTAAAACATGTTAGCCATGTTAAATTTGATAGAAGCATGCTAGCATTGTGTTAATTACATACTAATTATTGCTAGCAAGATGTTAATTCACATTAATAGCATGCTACTTATTGCAATCAATTTATAAAACGTTAACTATGTGTTAGACATGTCAGAAGCATGCTAATTATCGATAAACATTTACAAAAAACTTAACTGTGTTAATTCATGCTAACATGCTAATGTTTTGGCAGCAACTTACTAAAACATGTTAATTATGTGTTAGACATGTTAGAAACATGCTAAATAAAGATTAATTCATGCTAACATGCTAATGTTTTGCCAGCAACTTACTAAAACATGCTAATTGTGTGTTAGACATGTTAGAAACATGCTAAATAAAGATTAGTTCATGCTAACATGCTAATGTTTTGCCAGCAACTTACTAAAACATGCTAATTGTGTGTTAGACATGTTAGAAACATGCTAAATAAAGATTAGTTCATGCTAACATGCTAATATTTTGCCAGCAACTTACTAAAACATGCTGATTGTATGTTAGACATGTTAGAAACATGCTAAATAAAGATTAGTTCATGCTAACATGCTAATGTTTTGCCAACCATTTACTAAAACATGTTAATTATGTGTTAGACATGTTAGAAACATGCTAAATAAAGATAAGTTCATGCTAACATGCTAATGTTTTGCCAGCAACTTACTAAAACATGCTAATTGTGTGTTAGACATGTTAGAAACATGCTAAATAAAGATAAGTTCATGCTAACATGCTAATGTTTTGCCAGCAACTTACTAAAACATGCTAATTGTGTGTTAGACATGTTAGAAACATGCTAAATAAAGATTAGTTCATGCTAACATGCTAATGTTTTGCCAGCAACTTACTAAAACATGCTAATTGTGTGTTAGACTTGTTAGAAACATGCTAAATAAAGATTAGTTCATGCTAACATGCTAATGTTTTGCCAACCATTTACTAAAACATGCTAATTATGTGTTAGACATGTTAGAAACATACGAACTAAGATTAGTTCATGCTAACATGCTAATGTTTTGCCAGCAACTTACTAAAACATGCTAATTGTGTGTTAGACATGTTAGAAACATGCTAAATAAAGATTAGTTCATGCTAACATGCTAATGTTTTGCCAGCAACTTACTAAAACATGCTAATTGTGTGTTAGACATGTTAGAAACATGCTAAATAAAGATTAGTTCATGCTAACATGCTAATGTTTTGCCAGCAACTTACTAAAACATGCTAATTGTGTCTTAGACATGTTAGAAACATGCTAAATAAAGATTAGTTCATGCTAACATGCTAATGTTTTGCCAGCAACTTACTAAAACATGCTAATTGTGTGTTAGACATGTTAGAAACATGCTAAATAAAGATTAGTTCATGCTAACATGCTAATGTTTTGCCAGCAACTTACTAAAACATGCTAATTGTGTCTTAGACATGTTAGAAACATGCTAAATAAAGATTAGTTCATGCTAACATGCTAATTATGTGTTAGACATGTTAGAAACATGCTAAATATAGATTAGTTCATGCTAACATGCTAATGTTTTGCCAGCAACTTACTAAAACATGCTAATTGTGTGTTAGACATGTTAGAAACATGCTAAATAAAGAATAGTTCATGCTAACATGCTAATGTTTTGCCAGCAACTTACTAAAACATGCTAATTGTATGTTAGACATGTTAGAAACATGCTAAATAAAGATTAGTTCATGCTAACATGCTAATGTTTTGCCAGCAACTTACTAAAACATGCTAATTGTGTGTTAGACATGTTAGAAACATGCTAAATAAAGATTAGTTCATGCTAACATGCTAATGTTTTGCCAGCAACTTACTAAAACATGCTAATTGTGTGTTAGACATGTTAGAAACATGCTAAATAAAGATTAGTTCATGCTAACATGCTAATGTTTTGCCAACCATTTACTAAAACATGCTAATTATGTGTTAGACATGTTAGAAACATGTGAACTAAGATTAGTTCATGCTAACATGCTAATGTTTTGCCAGCAACTTACTAAAACATGCTAATTGTGTGTTAGACATGTTAGAAACATGCTAGCAACATGTTCATCTATGACAGGAACATTACATTATGTTAGCAAAGTGCTAAAAATATAGCACTAGATCAATCTTCCTTTATTTCTTTCCATTGTTCCAAAGACATTTCAAGTTATTTTGATAATAATTACACTATTGGATGTTTTCTATTTACACATGATCCAATATATTCCAATATGTACATTGTATTTGCAACTTTAACATGACTAAGCACCCCCTTTTTGAGGAAACAGCACTCTTTGTTTATCAGAAATCAAGTAAATGTCATTACTGTACAAATGAATGGATCCTTGCAGAATAAAAGTATTAATTTCCTTTAAAAAGCAGACCTTATAGAGCTCCAGCATGTGCTACCTGTGGTGTAGACAGCATGTCCAGACTCCAGGAGCACATCTTGCCATCAGTGGAGATGCTGATGAGATTGTGTGCGTTCTGCGTCCCCACCACATTCACACAGTACACTGGGTGCTGGAGGGAGAGAGAGATGCTCAATATGATGGTCAATAGATGAAGCAGACACAGTGATGTTGATCTGCTGTACCGTATGAGCCGAGGCTGAGAGTGGTGTCCTCTGCACTGGGGTGCGTTTGTTACTCCGGTTGTCCCACAATACGATCTGACCCGAGTATGTGCCTCCAACCACCAGATTAGGATGAAACTGCGCAAACGCTGCTGACATCACTGCAGACTGGAGAAAATAAAAGATAAATACTCATTTAATCATGTGATCTCAACATAACAGAATCAATATACACATAAAATAATACTACAATAAAATATTATTTTCTTAAAGGATTAATACTAACTAAAAATAAAAACTTTTATTTTTGCAACATAAATAGATAATAATAATAAAATTAATTAATAATTTATTTATTTATTTTTTACAATAATTAAAAAAAAATTGTTAATTAAAACATTTATAATAATAATTATAATGGCAATGACACATTGAATAAAATAAATTAATTAATTTATTTTATTCAATGTGTCATTGCCATTATTATTATTATAAATGTTTTAATTAACCAAATAATTTTTTTAATTATTGTAAAAAAAAAATTATGAATTAATTTTATTATTATTATTATTATTATTATTATTATCTATTTATGTTGCAAAAATAAAAGTCCCAGTCTCATTTAATTGCGTTATTAAGAACAAGAACACAATAAGAAAAAAAGTACTTTCCCAGATTTATGCAGTGTGATATTCACCTGGCAGTGGAAGACATATTCTGGTGTGGTTTTCTTATATTTCATGTTCCAGACGAGAGCAACGCCATCCGGCTCATGTGGAGCTTCTTCATTACTGCAGTATGAGGCCACCAGCAGCTCTGGGTACTGACACACAATAATTATAAATAATCAAATAACCGACACATTAGCATTGGGATTTACACTATTTGCAGCATGCTTCTGTAAATGCATATGTTGCTGTCAATGTGATGATGTCGTCCTGATGTCCACACTAATACGTTTTTGTTAAAAAACACATTTTTCTCTCTGTTTTGGCCTTCCGTCCACTGCGTTTTTAGGAAACAAAAACATATCTTTTTAAAAACGCAGTCCAAAGTGGATAGCATTATGTGTACCTGTGGAGACCAGTCGAGACAGGTGACCACTCGGTGTTTAGACCAGCGCTCGTCCGCAAACTGTCTGTTCAGCGAAAGTTTGGCTCCAGCCTGAGACTCCCTAAAACAAACACAATCAACAACATATATAAATATATATATATATATATATATATATATATATAAGCAATATCACATGAGTAGCAGTGCGATATGGCTGTATATCGGGACTGGTGGGAGGCGTGCGTTGGCATGAGGCTGCAGGTTGAGTGCCTTAGTGCCCCCACCAGTGCCGATATACAGCCATATCACACTGCTACGAGTGTGATATTGCGTTTATACAACAGTTTGATGACATAATTGTGTATATAAAAACAAAATCAAACATGGAGAGTCTCAAAAACTCTTTTGTATGAGGAACTACTTTCTTCCGCGTTGGATTCAAATCATAAGCTGACAGTTGAACAGCTGAGCAAGCATCTTTTAAAGATTCTAACGACACTTTGGATCTAACAAGGAGTGCCGAGTTACTTCATAGCTTGATATGCTTGAGGTCGATTTTGAGCTCTTTTTCAGCCAACCATGTCTTTAAACAATTTATGGCCCGTACAGTTTGCCGCACAGTGTTGTATTCATGCCGATTTTTTTCGAAATAGTCCAAATCTGCTGATGTAAAGGCTACACTTCTTGTTTGCTCCATTGATAATGTCTTTTCATCTTCTTTATCTGATGGGCCTTCATAGCTTATATCGAAGGATATATTCATGGAAAATGTGTCATTTGCCATGTCTGTTTTGCTAAACGGATTCGCTGGGACGATTTGAAACTTTGTATCTTTTTAAATAGCTTGTTTGGAACTCCTTGCATGCGGAGTGATACAGTATACATGGGTAAAGAGGCTGTATGGATGCTGATATTACTTAAATATGTCACGGCTATTAGCCAATCAAATTCGAGAACCAGACAGAACTGTTGTATAAATATATATCAAACAGTGGAAAATCTAATCAATTCACAAATTAATAATAATGATAGTAAAAATATGTATATTTTGTGAGGCAATAAAATAAATTGAGGGTGTCACGGTAGCGCAGTGGGTAGCACAATCGCCACACAACAAGAAGGTCGCTGGTTTGAGCCCTGGCTGGGCCAGTTGGCATTTCTGTATGGAGTTTGCATGTTCTCCCCGTGTTGGCGTGGGTTTCCTCCGGGTGCTTCCCCCAAAGTCCAAACACGTGTGCTATAGGGGCCCTTGCGTTTGCTATAGCCCTAGTGTGTTCTTTTTATCTGACCCTACACACACAGACACACACCCCTCTTTATCCTGCAGGTCTCGTCCGCTGTAGTCGAAGAACACGTCCACCTGCTCAGACAGAGCGCGCTCCATGATGCGAGAGCTGTGGTCGAAGAACGTCACGAACTCCTCCGAGTGAAGAATCTGCTGTTTCTCTTCTTCCGTCAGCTCATGAGGAGACGCTGCACACACAAACATCAAGATACCCTTAAAGCCGGCATCAGAAAGAAGTTGCAATCCGCTTGTTAAGCTGTGACGTATGGATTAAAGGTTCTGGGTCCAAGCCTCTACCCATCTGAATTAAAATAAATAAATATCTTAAAGGACCAGGGGCTTGTACCATGAAGCCACATTAGCTGGCTATCCAGATAAGTTTGCACCAATTCTGGGTTTTATGTAACATGAAGGCAGCTCAACTCCTCCATAATACCAAGGCAACAAAGAGTGTTTAGTTGAGTTGAGTTGTCTCCATCTTCACCCGCAATTCATATTTGTTTGACAGAGTTTATAATTATTTTTTGTAGTTTGACAGCACTACCTTCATCTTCTTCTTTCTGAGAGTCTTTCTCCTCTTGAGGCTCCATTACAGGCTGCATCACAGCCAAATCTTCCTCCTCCTCTTCATCTACAGACAGCGGTGAAAGGTTAGTTTTATACACACACTGAACTATTAAACAAAAGCTGTGTGTGAGTACTTGGTTTTATATCCCAGTGGGGACTTGAACCTGAATGTACACAGATCTATGGGGACTTTTATCAACATGAGGAACAAAATAGATGTCCTCACAGGTAAACATGCTTCTAAGGGTGCTTTCACACCTACACTTTTGTTTCGGAACGTATCTCGTTTGCCCAGTTAGCGCGGTTCGTTTGGCATATGTGAAGAGGGCAATCGCGCTCTGTTCCGCGCCAAAGTAATCGCTCCGAGATCGCTTGAATGAGGTGGTCTCGGCTCGATTGAAACGAACCCTGGAGCGGTTCGATTGCAGTGAGAAAGCGATCCGATCCGAGCGCGGTTATGTCACAGTGTGTTATGGATATGTAATAGGCATACGGCCATATGAAGAGAGAATTATGAGTAGGGCGGGAAGTTTCACGAATCTCCGGATGCCCGCAAACGAGTGATGATCTCCGGGTAATCTCGCGTCTCCCTCCCGGTCCTCAAATAGGCTACGTCGCCCCTCACCCCTCCCCACCGCATCTCTCCTCAGACACGTCGCGCGCGCGCACCTTGTCAATCACTATCAAACCACGACCTCTCCCGACAGTTTAGCGGGACGCTGCAAAATAAACCCTGACACTCTGACCAATGTGAGGAGAGTTTACTCGCACGTGACTTGTTTTAGCTCTTTTGGTCCGATTAGAAACTTTGCAGTGTGAAAGCGAACCGCTCCAAGAGCAAATAGCAACAATGTAACATTTGTAATCTCTGTTTCTGATTAACTAAATCGATTCACAGGTGTGAAAGCACCCTAAATCAGACAGAATGAAGTATTTTCAAAATGTAAAAATGGTTTGGGGGAGGGGGAATTGAATATTGAGTCCCCACTGGGATATAGAAACACGTCTGTGTGTGTGTGTGTGTGTGTTTTACCCTCTTTGTGATGAGTCTGTGTGGGTGTCTGGGTCTCTTTTGAGTACGACACCATCTCTTTAGGAGGAAAGTCCACCTGTGTGACCTTCGACATGCCCAACTTAAGCGGGCCACGTCTGCAGAAATACAGCAAACTATGTTTAGACCAAAATTAATAATTACATTTTTATATATATATATATATATATATATATATATATATATATATATATATATATATATATATATATATATATATATATATATATATTCTTTTTATCTTTAAAAACAAATAATAAAAGCAAATAATTAATAATATTGGATTAAAGATTTTAAACATTATTTAAAAACTAATCCATTAATTAGTATGAACTAATTAATCACAATAAATAAATACCAAATAAATCAATTTACATATAATATGTTTTTTTATTAATTAAATAGTAATAAACATGTATTTATGCACATATAAAACCTAGAAACCCATTTCCTGAGGGATGATGATATGTCCTTATAAGAAGTATGTGAATTGCAGGTTTGTGAAAGTCAAAACAAAAGGTTGAAGCCCGGCAAAATTATACAGAATTTTCTATGTCATAGAAGGAATAAGAAATGATCAAATAAAAAAGTAACTATATTCACCGTAGGCTTTCCAGCAGCGAATAAATGCTCTAAAATATACTAACAGATTTAGTTTGCAAGGGTTTTCACTTGAAAATGTAATTCACGTCATATTCATACACAATCCGCTGATTGGTTAACCATGACGGTCCGTGAAGAAAGAAAGACAGCAAGAGTGAGAGGACGAGTGTGACAGAAGGATAAATGAAGGAGAGGAGGGTAAACAGAAGTCGAGTGATGTTAATGAGAGAGAGACAGCAGTACCCGAGCTGAGAGTCTGAATGGAGCAGTAGAGTAGAAGGATCAGAGTCCCAGTGAAGAGTCCTGTTAGACACACACATACACACACCCACGCGCACACACATGCATGCAGACAGGCACAAGGAGAGCAGAGTTGCTGTTAAACACTAATATACATGTGCATGCACACACGTACAAAATACAGGTCAGACTACTGCAGAGTCACATCATCATATAATTCACTACCTAATCCATATGTTTATATGCATGTCTGTGTGTAACTGGGTTTTAAAGGGGTCCTATTATGCCCCTTTTTACAAGACCTAAAATAAGTCTCTAATGTCCCCAGACTGGATATGTGAAGTTTCAACTCAAAATTACACACAGATAATGTTTTATAACTCTCTGAAACTGCCCCTTTTATGCCTTGATCCTAATTGTACCGTTTTGGTGACTGTCACTTTAAATTCAAATGAGATTGTGCTCTTTTCAAAAGAGGGCGGGGCTCCTATTATAAAGAGGGGGAGATTGTCACTAGTGGGCGGGGTTTTCACCCTCTGATGACACATATAAAGGAAGAATGTCAATCAAAGTGTTTCTGCAGACTGTTTTTATCAAGTGTGCTTATAAAAAAACAACAATTAAGACATTTTTACCATTAGAAGCTGGTTATATTCACAGATTGTTCCCACATAATTGTGTTAAAACCCCATTTAAAGTGATTTTTGCATAATAGGTCCCCATTTAAGTTCTATTATCAGCATAATTAATGGAATTAATGTTTTGATATTTGGATCATTTTCAGCCCAATAAAACTGGCCAATGAATTTCCTGGCTAATGTTTTTTATAAAAGCAAAATAATTTAAATTAAAAGTGCCGACCTGCAGTAATAAGTTTGCTATACTTTTTCCAAAAAAAAAAAAACTGAAATTAACTGATGCAACTTAAAACAATGAACAGAAATGACAGAAAACACTGATCATTTTAAAAGAATTGGAAATGAGTTGAAAGCATGGCAAAAGATTTTGCAGTGAAACATGAAGGAATATGAAATGAAGAGCTTCAAGCAAAGTTTAGTTGTTTATATTTGCCATACAGTACATGCGTTTTTTCCTCGTTTATCTAATGAACAATAAAACAAATCAAATATGATTTAAAAATCATTAATTTGTAATTAATTTAATTTTAACAAATCAAATATGATAAAGAATCATTTATTTGCAGAGTATTTAATTCACTCAATTATTCAAAATTAGGGTGGAAAATGATATGCTTATTTATTATATATAAAAAACATATTAACCAAACTACTCTATCATTCAAAAGTTTGGGGTTAGTATGTTTTATATACAGTTGAAGTCAGAATTATTAGCCCCCCTTTGATTTTTTTTTTTTCTACTTTTTTAATATTTCCCAAATGATATTTAATAGATTCAGGAAATTTTCACAGTATGTCTGATAATATTTTTTCCTCTGGAGAAAGTCTTATTTGGTTAATTTCGGCTAGAATAAAAGCAGTTATTAATTTTTTTAACACCATTTTAAGGGCAATATTGTTAGCCCCTTTAAGCAAATTCTTTTTTTTTTTTGATAGTCTACAGAACAAACCATCATTATACAACAACTTTCCTAATTACCCTAACCTGCCTGGGTAACCTAATTAACCTAGTTAAGCCTTTAAATGTCACTTTAAACTTTATAGAAGTATCTTGATAAATGTCTAGTCAAATATTATTTACTGTCATCATGACAAAGATAAAATAAATCAGTTATTAGAAATGAGTTATTAAAACTATTATGATATGAATGTGTTAAGAGACTTTTCTCTCCGTTAAACAGAAATTGGGGAAAAAAATAAACAGGGGGGCGAATAATTCCCACTTCAACTGTTTATTATATAATTAATTTATTTAAAAAAAAAATTTAAAAGAAGCATCTCTCTCAATGAGCCTCCATTTATTATTTGATCAAATTACGGTAATACCGTGTAATAGTATTATAATTATTTTTTTATAGTAAAATGTTATTAAAGTAAAATTTTTACTTATTCCTGTCTTGCAAAGCTGATTATTCGGCATAATTAGAAATCATTCAAATATCAATTAAATTCAATATTTGCTTTACTGGCATGACAAATGTTACAAATGTATTGCCAAAGCATTTATAAAGTTTACATTAAAAAGAATATATATACATTATATATACATACATATATACAATATGCATATATATTGTTTAAAAAGTAGTAGTAAAACATAGTAGTAGTAGTAAATGTAGTAGTAGTAAAGTTAAATAAAAAAATACAAATAAAAAAAAAATAATAATAAATCAGAATAAACTGTACATTTAACAATCAACATTTGTTTATCATTCTAATATCAAGAACTGCAACTCAGGAAACGATTTGAGTTATCAGTGTGTGCTGCTTTGTGTTTTGTGGAATCTATTATATAAAGCTTTCGTTGGTGAATAAAAAGTTCCAAACTACATTTCGTTAATTAAAAAATGCTTACATTTTGTGACATTACAAATGTCTTTACTGGCATTCTGACCGCAAACTTTTGAATGCTATTTTATTTCCATCTTATTTTTGCACACTCTGAGTTCAACATTCATTTCATAAACTTCCATTCAAAAGAACTGAAACAAATCAATTCAAACAATAAGTATGTGCAAGAAATAATCTTAACCTGAACAATAATCTTAACAAAAGCACAATGAAAACTTAAAGAGAGACTCTTTTTGGTTTTATGCTTTATATTTATCCAGCAGGAAAACTAAATTACTCTTGATATTTTTAAAAGGCACTACTATCACATTTGCTCCTCCAAAGTATTTTTTCTTTGCATTACAGTACAGTAAGACTCCGTATATGTATGTAATATTACAGATTATATTGATGATATTACAGAAAGACTGCTGAAAGTCATTTATTAATTCAAATGAACTACTGTACCCAGTAGTGCCCAGTTTTAAATAATCCTTTACATTTCAACAGAAGTTACTCCTATAGCTCGTGCAAAGCATCATGCACTATTGGAAAAACGTGGATAGAATTACTATAATACAAAAGTCTGTGAAATGAGAGATCTTGGTCAAACCGGCTCTAGAGTCTCTGTTGTCAGTGTAAACAGTCTCACCTCGGGCCCGTCCCGCCGTCTCCGGAGTCCTGGCTGCCCGTCTCACTTGGGGTTCCCACTGATTTGGCAGAAGGGGACATGGGAGGGGGGACTAAATAGTGAAACAGACACGTATCCTCTGTTACCACACGCAGAGGCTGAACTACGCTCACACACATGCATGTACAGTACACACACACATGCATAAGCAAAGGGAGGGAAAAACACATTAAAATAAACAGATAGCAGGAAAAAGCAAGGGTAAGGTGGTAAATAAGCACAAAAAGCAGTAAAATCGAAGAGGATTGAGCGAAACAAAAAAGAAAAGACAAAAAGGGCAGTGGTTAATATTCATGCACGATCCACATGCGTTAAAAACACATCAGTGATCATTCCTTAGAAAGGTTGTTTCCCAAAATAATTAATAAATAATTTTTAAATATGTATTTACTGTATATATACTGTCAAATAAATATATATACATACATATATTTGCACACACACTACTTGACAAAAGTATTGTTGTCGATCCCAGTTGTAAGAGCAAAAAATAATAACTTCACTTCTAGTTGATCACATGGAAAACAATACCTATTGGAACCTGCATAGATCAAAGATTCTCACAGAAATCAGTCAAGTTTGGTGAAGGAAAAATCATGATTTTGGGGTTCCATTCAGTTTGGGTGCGTGCAAATGATCTGCAGAGGGGATGGCAACATCAACCACCTGAGGTATCAAGACATTTGTGCTGCCCATTACATTACAAACCACAGGAGAGGGCAAATTCTCCAGCAGGATAGCGCTCCTTCTCATACTTCAGCCCCAACATCAAAGCTCCTGAATGCAAAAAAGGTCAAGGTGCTCCAGGATTGGACAGCCCCGTCACCAAACATGAACATTATTGAGCATGCAGGGTAAGATGAAGGAGGAGGCATTGAAGATGAATCTAAAGAATCTTGATGAACTCTGGGAGTCCTGCAGGAACGCTTTCTTTGCCATTCCAGATGACTTTATTAATCAGTGATGTGAGTCATTGCAGAGATGTATGGATGCAGTCCTCCAAGCTCATGATGGAGTCAGACACAATATTCATTCTGTCTCCACTGCAGCATGACTTTATATTCTATACTGGACATTATTTCTGTTAAGTGTCAAGACTTTTGTCTAAGCAAAGTCAGACCTTACTGTCCTAATTAAATCATTAATAATCAAGACATGATCATATTTTATTTCGGTGATATAAGCGTAATCTAGAGGCCTTTGCCTTTCATATAAGCCACTTCTGATACCAAATGATCAACTAGAAGTCAAGCTATTATTTGTTGATCCTAAAACTTAGATAGGTGACAAAACTTTTGTCAGGTAGTGTATGTATATATGTATATATATGTGTGTGTGTGTGTGTGTGTGTGTGTGTGTGTGTGTGTGTGTGTGTGTGTTTGTGTGTTCCTTTTATTTCACTTAATGGGGAAACAAGCTTTCATACATTATAAATTGTTATAATAAAGAAAGGAAAAGAAAGAAAAATAAAAAAAGGAAATTGATGATATTTACATGAGTACAAAAAAATAGGTTTAATCTAATGATTTGGGTTCTTCTCAGTTGATGCAAAATGGGTCATAATATATATGTTTTTATTGAATAATACAATCTATACAGCTTTCTCTACACCAGTGTTTCTCAACTGGTGGGTCGGGTCATGGGAATGTTTTCAGTGGGTCGCGGAGTGTGTGGTCAAAAAAACAACAAAAGTTACATTTTTTACTTTTGTTTTTGCTTATACTGGACTTTTATTTTGAAATGCGTGCACGACAACTCTACCGTTTTTCATAAGAATTTTCATTTAATTATTGCAACAAATATGTCGAAGCGCAAGTGCGACCCCGAATATGTAAAGTATGGATATATATATTGATGACAAAAAAGACTTAAAGCCTCAGTGTCATATTTAGTGAGGAGCTCTCATAAGAGAGCATGAAACCTTCTAAATTAAAACAACATTTAGAAACCAGAAAACATGTTTTATTAACAGTTTATTATTAACAGCATTTGTCGTTTTTACTTTGTAATATTACTATAATTTGATCCATTTTGTTAAATGACAGCAATAAAATATTGTTTATTTGTAAGTCTTGGTGAATTTCTTATGATGTATCTGTCACTACTTGTTTATGTTAACAAATAAATACAAATTAAGAATAATTCCTAAAATTGTATAAGAGTTCCTAAAAATTTTGGGTCGCTGCTTGATGACCATGTGAAAATGTTGGTCCCATGGCTAAACCAGTTGAGAACCCCTGCACTACACTGTAAAACGTAAAAACTTAAGCAAATTACTTTGACTTGTTACAATTAATAGAATTAAATTTGCCGAAGGAGTAATATAAGTAATAAATTAATTTAGTTCTTTTAGGTGTAACAAGTTTTAGTAACTTATTTATAGCAAGTACAAGTATTGTTTGCTATTAATGGCGAACAATATTTCTACTTGCCACAAAACATAAAAATAGTATTATTATTATTATTATTATATTAACATTGGAAGGAAATTATTTGTACTGTACTATATGTACTGTTCCATTTTTGTTCTCTTAAATAAATAACTAAAATTTGTTACACATAAAACAACTTAATTTATTACTGAAAACTCAAGCTTGTCAAACTTAATTGATTTAATTATAACAAATCAAAGTAATTTGTTTAAGTTTTCACATTTACAGTGTATTGTCTCATAATGACAGATTTTCGAAGTTTCTGATGGTGTTGACTTAAATATTTAAGCTGTGTTTTAGGGCATTTTCAGACTTGTCAGTTGTGAGTGTGCTCTGTTTATCATCTGGTATTCAAATATAAATTGCTGTATTAATAATTTGGGAGCTGCCATTATCAGTCACTCATTTTGCATACAAACTAAAACACGTGTTCACACCAAACGCAGAGCGTGGAGTCAAGGTGGATGCTATAGTTTAGTGAGGGATGATTTTCTCATATTTTTGGCTTGCGCTACAGATGCCTTTTCAATGGTTACAGGTTTCCAACATTCTTCAAAATATCTTCTTTGTGTTTAACAGAAGAAAGAAAGTCTTCTATGTTTTCAAATAAGTGCAGAGTGAGTAAATGATGACAGAATTTAAACTATCCCTTTTTAAGCTCACCCATAGATTATTTTGGTCCAAATCTATATTAATGTTCCAAAACTAAAAAGCTTTTTTATCCATTTACAGTCTGTTTTCATGCTTCAATGTAAAGTCTTTCCTCCGCATTCTAAAAGTTATAGAAAGTGGATCAAGCTTTTACAAAATATAAAAAGTATATATAAAATATAAACTCTCTATAAGTGTTTTGTTTTTTTAGTAGGTTGTACATGAGTTACTAATAAAAATAAATAAATAATAATTGAAAAAGCATGCCTGTTAGAACAGAAGTGACTTAATTACAGTAAGTGATTTTGAATGCATTTACCCATGGAGGCATCTGTGATCCCCATGCTCTGTAACAGAGCCTCTGCCTCCCTCCTCTTTCTCTCCAGATCAGAGTCTTCCTGTGGGGGAGACGCTCCTTCCTTTCTTCCATCCAGCTACAGGAGGAAAGAGAAAGATTATTATATGAATTATTTGCCCTCCTGTGAATTTATTTCTTTTATCAAATATTTCTCAAATGATGTTTAACAGAGCAAGGAAATTTTCACAGTATTTGCTATAATATTTTTTCTTCTGGAGAAAGTCTTATTTGTTTAATTTCGGCTAGAATTAACGCAGCTCTTAATTTTTTCTAAACTATTTTAAGGTCAATATTATCAGCCCCCTTAAGCTATTTTTTTTTTTTACCCAACAAACCATCGTTATACAATGACTTGCTTAGTTATACTATTTAAGCATTTAAATGTCACTTTAAGCTGAATACTAGTATCTTGAAAAACATCTAGTCAAATATTATGTACTGTCATCATGGCAAAGATAAAATAAATCAGTTATTAGTTATTAGTATTTTTGTTAAACAGAAATTGGTGGGAAAAACAAAAGAATGCTAACTAATATACTCTGCAGCAAAATGAGAGAGAGAGAGAGAGAGAGAGAGAGAGAGAGAGAGAGAGAGGGATAGAGAGAAAGATAGCAAAGACATCATATGACTGCAGCTCAGGCCACGGCTCACCTCTTTTTTCTTGCGCTCTTCCTCTTTCCTCTTCTTCTCCTCTCTGATCTGGGCCAGACGTTGCTTCTTTCTTTCTAACTCCGCTTTCAGCTCACTTTTGTCAGACATTCTGCACGTTTAAATCAAATCAGGCCTTGTTAGTGTATTTGCAAAAATAAATCAAGTAATCAATGTAATTATAAGTAAAATAAAGGCTTTTTTACAACACAATGCAAACAAGAAGTCTTCAAAACAAAGAGCTTTTAACAAATTATAGCAAAATTGTATGTATTTTATTTACTTTCTGCTGCTAATATTTGCTTATAAGGTTTTGATAATAATTACAATTCAAATGATGCTATATATCATGTATAACCACCAGTGTTATCTGTCATTATTATAGCGTGTTTGTCAAAATTTAAATTATTAATTTTTTGTTTATATATTTTTTCATTAAAATGCAACAAATGGGTAATTTATTATAAACATACTGTTTTGTTTTTTTTAATGTCTATACAGTTTAAATTATTTATTAATTTATTATATATGTATGTGTATATATATTTCCAAATAATTTTTATTTAATGTAAATAATTTTTTGACTTTAATTATTTTATTGATTTAAGTTCAACTAAATGAAAGTTGCCTTCGTAACTAGCGTAACAATAACTTAATCTGTTTTATTTATTTTACTTTGATTAACATATTTGCACAGTTTTAACAATCATAACCTGATATAATGGCATGGTCATTACAGTCTCATACATTCTGTTTATAAGCAGATATTACATGGGCAGCCTCTAGTGGTCATTGTGGGAATCAGACTGAGGTCATTCTGGTCCGCACCCATGAGCTCATCCAGTACTGCAAACACACCATGCTTCGTCAACAGTCCACTGCTCAAATAACTACTACAGAATATGTATGTATGTATCTATCTATCTATCTATCTATCTATCTATCTATCTATCTATCTATCTATCTATCTATCTATCTATCTATCTATCTATCTATCTATCTATCTATCTATCTGACCATCTGTCTGTCCATCCTTCTATCTATCTTTCTATCTATTTATCTGTGCTTTTTTGATCGGTTGTATTTAACAAAAACAATGCCTTATTGAAAATAGCAATGGTTCATTAGGGTGGCAATTTATCAATGAAAATAGCTTTTATTCCACAAGTTTCACAACACAATTTGGATTAATTGAAGCAATTTATTCTCTCACATCTGCAACGTATTTTCCACTGAGTTAATATTAATCTTATCAAAACACAGCCATTAAACCAGATTTAATATTTCATGCATCATAAATGTCCACATTCATCAGAATAATACAAAATAGACAAAATGTTTGATAAACAGGACTATAATATATTAAATATATGAAAACTATTAATTTCTCCATGCTGTGTTTAGTTGATAAAGTTTTCAACAGGTCAAATTTCAAACATTACTGAAAATATGTTTGCTTCTAAAATATGAAAACCATTTTAAAAACATGACAGTAGTTAAACTATATTTTAAAATCCCATTGCATTATAATTCCACTACATTAAAGGGATAGTTCATCTAAAAATTGAAATGTCTTCATCATTTACTCAAACTCAGTCCCTTTAAACTACTTCTGAATGACATCACTGTTGGCAGTATGCTAGAATAGATATTTATGAGCAAACTACATGTATAAAATCACATATGTGACTTCATTAAATAATAATTATTATATTAATAATAATTTTTAATTAATAACCGTTTGTTTTTGTTTATTAATAGAGAGCTCAATGAGTTTATTTAGCCTAGTAAGTTATACAAACCCAATGACACACACACACACACACACACACACGGGACACTCCTGTAAGAGTCCCGGATGGTCAGTCAATATGGCTGCATAGCGAAAACCCCGGTTGAAAGCTCACAACTAACATAAAAAACACAATTTAAAACGATAAACACTTTAATAACATTTTATTTACATTATTTAAGCTGCGCGCGCGAAACCGTTTATTTGAAGCGCAATAAATAATACTAACGTTACACCATCAGTCTAGTTGCATCAGCTGTTCATTTTATGTTTGTTTTTTTAACACTACAAACCATTTGTGTTCATATTTTAAAACGGAAGTGGTTTTCTGCTTTGTTTGTGTTTATTTCAGTAAGTCTTTGTAAGGTAACTTAGCGTCCAGTGTAAATGACAGTTAACCGCACACGTCAACGGCCCTCAGGAATCAATGCTGAAACATCGCCATTAAAGACACTATTATTCACTTTAACAGAGAAAATACTACTGTTAGTGAGGAAAAACATTAGTCTTACTTGAAATAAATTGTTAGCGGCTCGGAGTCTGTACGGGGAGGATTATTGTTCTTCAGCGGACTAATAAGTTATTATCCTCTTTCTCTTGTTGTGACAGCAGCGGCGGCGCTGGATCTGGGATGCGGCTACGGGTGCCGTGAGGCGCTGTTCCCAAACTGAGCAGATGATGCGTTTCAAGACATTGGCCACTAGATAGCGCACTTTCACTTAAGTGATGGACTAAACTTTAAATGCGCTTAATAAAATAATAGTAGCTGTAACATGAATAATTTTTAAATGAATTAAACTTATGCAATAAAATAATATAAATTGTAATATAAATATTTAAAATGAGTTAAATTTGTACAATTAAATAATATAAATTGTAACATAAATATTTACAATGAATTAAATTATACAATTAAATACTGTAAATTGTAACATGAATATTTCAAATGAATTAAATTTTTGCAATTAAATAATATAAATTGTTTCACAAACATTTAAAACAAATTAAGATGTGAACCAAACTTGTTAAAATAATAATTTAGCTATATCCACGGACCAGGGTCGGGCAGAAATATAAATAAATTAATATGTTAGAAATAAATGATCAAAAAAAAGGTTAATCTTTTGCAGTTTCAAGGTCCATTACAAAACACACACATATACACACACACAGAGAGAGAGAGAGAGAGAGAAAGAGAGAGAGAGAGAGAGGGAGGATACAGCCCAAAAATAGTGTATAATCCATCCTATTATTAATGAAAAAAATAATAATAATTGATGAATTTTGATTAAAAAATGTATGTATATTATATATAAGCAAACTGAAACTTTGACAACATAAGCTTTCTTTTTAAAACATTTTTTGTTAATAATAAAACCTTTAAAATTATTAGCATAATTTTTAAACTATTTAAACAATATCTTTTTGCTTTATGTATTTTACAACAAATAACAAAAATGACAATGTACAATAAATTACATCAAATATGTCACTTCATTTAATAATAATAATAATAATAATAATAATAATAATAATATGTAGGTATACTGAAACTTGGACAACATAACTTGTATTTTTTTACACATTATTTTTAAATAATAACATTAAATATGAAACTTTTTAAACAATATTTTGCTTTATATATTTTACAACAAATATCACAAATAATCATTTACATTATATGCATAATTTAATTTATTATTATTATTATTATTATTAATAAAACTGTTTAAACATTTTTGCGTTATATATTTTACATCAAATAACACAAATAATAAATTACAATAAGTAAATAAAGCATAAACAATTACATTAATAAGCTTTGATTTACATTGAAATCAAAGCTTTACATTGAAGAAGCTTTAAATTAAAGAAGAAACATAATGAAATACATTTACACTGTTTTTCATACTACTATAAATAAACCATCTTTAAATTCACTAAAAAGATTTATAAGCAGTCATTAGATGTCTTTCTATAGTGGAAAGGCATTTTTAAATAAAATAGAAGACAATAGAATAGAATACATTAGAATAGAATAAAATAGAATATAACTAAATAGAATATAATTTAATTGAATATAATTGAACACAATAGAATAGAATAAAACAGAATAGAACATAACACAATAGAATAGCATAGAATAGAACAGAACATAAAAGAATTTAACACAATAGAATAGATTAGAACAGAACCGGATAGAACACAATAGAATAAAATAGAACAGAACAGACCACAATAGAATGGAATAGAATTGAATAGAACACGATAGGATAGAATAGAACACAACAGAATAGAATAAAATTTAATAGAAAAGAATAGAAACTTGTTTCTCTTTGCAGTTGTAGTATCAGAGGAATGATGATGTGTAAGCATTGGAGAAGTGTGTTTATCCGCTACAGACTGACCCTTCACTGTTATAAAAGGAGAGATGAATATGTGTGGGCAGTCCAGGCTGAGCTCTGTTTATGGCACTGCTTCATGCTTCGTCAGTCGTTTTTTTTCCTTGTTTAAAATCTCTTTAAAAGAGAGTACATGCACATCTGAATATAGCATCTATACATATTGTTTTGGCGCCACAATGGCGCAGTGGGTAGCATGATCGCCTCACAGCAAGAAAGTTGCTGGTTTGAGTCCCGGCTGGGTCAGTTGGCATTTCTGTGTGGAGTTTGCATGTTCCCCTCGTGTTGGCGTGGGTTTCCTCAAGGTGCTCCGGTTTCCCCTTTAGTCCAAACACATGCGCTATAGGGGAACTGAATAAGCTAAATAGGCCGTAGTGTATGTGTGTGAATGCAAGAGTGTAGGTGTTTCCCAGTACTAGGTTGCGGCTGGAAGGGCATGCGCTGCATAAAATTGAATAAACTAAATTGTCCGTACTGTATGTGTGTGATTGAGTGTGTATGGATGTTTTCCAGTACTAGGTTGCAGCTGGAATGGCATCCGATCAAGCGATCTTAAACAAAAATGCAAAAGTAGAGATTTAAAAATGCCATATATCAGCACATCTAATGCACTGTAGCATGACATAAGCAAGAACCAAAGACATTTGTCTATAAATGCCACCAATAAAAACACTACAAAGGAAAAGTAAAACTGTCATCACATGTGTTGTTTCCCACCACACCCTGCTTGCTCTAATGCTATTGCTGAGTTCATTCACAAAGTGCTGTGAATTTGATATATGAGGGGAAATATTGCAGACTAAATGTGTATCTGTGTGTGTGTGTGTGTGTGAGAGTGAGTGAGTGAGTGTGTGTGTGGGTGTGTGTTTGTGTGTGTGTGTGTGTGTGTGTGTGAGTGAGCATGCTGGAACTTGTGTGGATGATTCAGATGGTGATGAAGTCATTTCTGTGTGTCTGTGTGTGTGTGTGTGTGTGTGTGTGTGTGTGCGTGTGTGTGCGTGTGTGTGCGTGTGTGTGCGTGTGTGTGCGTGTGTGTGTGTGTGTGTGTTTAACCCACATCTCCTTTGTCTTTTGCCATATGACAGTGGCTGTAAAAGGCCGTTGTAGTTTCCATGGCAACATGTCTGTGACTAAAAATCAGGTTATGGGTTAGCAGGTGCACGAGCATGCATGTTTATATATATAAGTGCAGATGTTTCACTATATTTCATCGCCCCACATCAATAACAGCATCTGAGGAAATATATCTGCAACAGGCACACACGTCACCTGTGACCGCAGACACATTAGTCTGCGTAGATTCAATAGGGTCTTATAGTTAAAAGGCTCACAATTCCATACAATTCTTTCATGTTGTCCCAACACAAATCGATTAAGTGAATTGAAGACAATTAGGTTGTTCCAAAACAACTGAAAAATTTTAATGTTTCTGCTCAATTTAAATATGTAATTTGAACATGGCAGCACGGTAGCGGAATGGGTAGCACAATCGCCTCATATCAAGAAGGTCGCTGGTTTCTTTTTGGAGTTTGCATATTCTCCTCGTGTTGGGGTGGCGGGTGGGTTTCCCATGGGTGCTTCGGTTTCCCTTACAAGTCGAAATATGTGGTACAGGAGAATTGGGTAGGCTAAATTGTCTGTAATGTGTGTGAATTAGTGTGTATAGGTGTTTGCCAGTGTTGGGTTGCAGCTGGAAGGGTATACGCTGCGTAAAACATATGCTGGATAAGTTGGCGGCTCATTCCGCTGTGGTGATCCCTGATTAATAAGGGACTGAGCCAAAAAAAAAAATAAAAAAATGAATGAATAAACAAATTTGAACATGTAGCAAAAAGATTTTTTTTGAGTGCATAAAATACACAAGGGTGTCACAGTGGTGCAAGAAGGTTGCTGGTTCGAGCCTCAGCTAGGTCAGTTGGCATTTCTGTGTGTGGATGTTCTGGATAACATGTGCTGGTTAAGTTGGTGGTTTATTCCGCTGTGGCGACCCCAGATTAATGAAGTGACTAAGCCAAAAAGAAAATGACTGAATGAATGAAAATGAATACAATTTTTTGGTAAATAATATTGCTTCAATTAAAGATTTATTGTGGACACAAACAAAAAAATGCATTTAAAAAATTTTGTTTTTGAATTTTAAGAACTTTAGAACCTGAAGAATTTTTTTTTCAGAAACTTAATATTGCATCTTAATATTGATTTTGTACACTTTTGTATCAGATTTACAACTTCTCTATAATGCACTGTAAAAAAATCTGTAATTTAATGGTTTATTTCTGGCAGCCGGGGTGCCGGAAAAAAACTATGAAATAACGGCCATTAAATTACAGAAATTTACTGTAAAATAACAGAGGTTAAATTATATTTTTTTTTATTATTTAAAACGGTTATTTTAAAGTAAATTTCTGTAATTTAATGGTTATTATTTACAGTAAATTGCTGTAATTTAATGTCTGTTATTTTACAGTAAATTTCTGTAATTCAATGGCCGTTATTTACAGTAAATTTCTGTAATTTAAAGTCCGTTATTTACAGTAAATTTCTGTAATTTAATGGCCGTTATTTACAGTAAATTTCTGTAATTTAATGGCCGTTATCTACAGTAAATTTCTGTAATTTAATGTCTGTTATTTTACAGTAAATTTTTGTAATTTAATGTCTGTTATTTTACAGTAAATTTTTGTAACTTAATGTCCGTTATTTTACAGTAAATTTCTGTAATTTAATGGCCGTTATTTTACAGTAAACTTCTGCAATTTAATGGCCGTTATTTACAGTAAATTTCTGTAATTTAATGGCCGTTATTTTACTAATAGGTCCCCTTTAAAGCCTCGAATATTCCACGAAGACCTTCAGATGGTAAAGGAAGAACCTAACACATTTCTGTTCAGTTAAAGCAGCAGTTTCTCAGAGGTTGCTGTGATTCAGCATAATATTCATGAACCGATCACCCTGCGAAGCCGTACAGCTGTCATTTGTTGACATGAAATATTTCCTAAATGACGTTTAACAGAGCAAGGAAATTTTCACAGTATGTCTGATAATATTTTTTCTTCTTTAGAAAGTCTTATTTGTTTTATTTCGACTAGAATAAAAGCAGTTTTTAATTTTTAAAACCATTTTAGGGTTAATATTATTAGCCCCTTTAAGCTATATATTTTTTGATAGTCTACAGAACAAACCATTGTTATACAATGATTGGCCTAATTACCCTAACTTGCCTAATTAACCTAGTTAGGCTTTAAATGTCACTTTAAGCCAAGGGC